TTACTCTCTTACCTTGTGCTGCCAAGGTTTTTCTTTTCTCCGGAGTCCCAAGACAGCCACTCCTCTCGTACCTTCCTAAGTCCCTGTTTGGGTGCCACCTGTCTCCCGAGACTAAGTGTTGCATCAAACGGAGGAGTGTGCAATGAAGAAACGTGGGCCAGGTGGGTCAGTGAAAGACTGAGCCAATTTATTATTCTGAGGGTCCCGGTTATATAGTAAAAGCTTACAATCATCCCCGAGGCATTCCAACGATTCTTACTTAGGTGACTAATCCCAGCCCTTATGTGAATCCTTAATTGTTCACACCTGCTTGCCATCAAGGTTCAAGGGGCAGAGTATTCTAACACCTTCCAGGCATGGGAAATTGGTGAGCCAAATATTCTGAATAATTAAGCCCTTATGGGTAGGAAAAGGAAAGAGTCAAGCTCTAATTTAAATTTCTTATCCCATATTAGACTCTTCAGCTCTGGCCCTCAACAGAGAATAGATAGAGACAGCTTTCACAACTATTGATAAGGGAAGAGGTTTTTGCTCAAACCAGGGACAGAAGGATCACTTGAGATAAAATGGACAATTTTGATTACATATAATTGAAAAGATTTTCCTAATCAAAATCAATGAAGGTTGGAATTGGAAGTAAAACAACTAACTAGGAGAAAAAGTGCAACAGATTTCTTTGATAAAGACCTGATAGCTAAGGTATGTTGGAAACTGATACAAATATATAGGAGTAAGAGCCATTCTCAAATAGTCAAATGTTATGAATCAGAAGCTCTCAGAAGGAAAAGTATCAGAAACTATATAAAAATGCTCCAAATAACTATGCCCATAAGTTTGAAGTAAAACGATAATATATCATGAAGATCATGATAATATACTCGTCTAATAGACAACTGTAAGTAAATGAATGGAGCTCAGGAAGACATCAGAACTAGAAGGAATAACTGACAGCCATCTGTTGAGGAGAAACTTGAGGTCACAGTGGATGAGCTCACTAAGGGAGAAAGAGCAGAGAGAAGAACAGAAACTGCTAACTAAAAAGGCAGCAAAGTCGAGCAGTTAAAGGAAGAAATCAGAATTTATAGCAACTGGAGGAAGAAATAGGTTAAGCAATAAAAATTTAGGGTAGCTGGGAATCACATCTGTGATTCCCCCACAGCTACCCTCATCACTAGCTGTGGTATTCCAAAGCATGCTAGAGACATAACCTACAGAATGAGACTAACTGTTCACACATCTTGGGTCACAAAAAGTCAGGATCCAAAGGGTCCTTAGAAATTATTTAGTCTAATACCCTCATTTTACAGGGGAGGAAAGAGACCTAGAGAGTTTAAATGACTTGCCTAAGGTCACATAGTAAATGGCAGAGTTGGATTTGAGGCCAGGACTCCTTACTCGAAGTCCATTGTTCTTTCAAACATACACCTTCCTCTGAGCTAGAAAGAGACCCAGAAGCCTAAATAGAACATTAAATAACTTTCAGCTGTGGATGATAGCAGGTAATGTCTCTTAAATATTATTTATTTTGTTTTGTTAAATCATTTCACCTCTCTAAGTCATTCACCACAATAGTGAGGCCACCTTAGATAAAATAAATTTCAGTCCTATTATACATTATTTCATTTGACTAAAATGAAAATTTATTTGGCCTTCTACTTATGTAACTATAGGGGAAAAAATGTATTTTCTACCAGAAATCTGTTAATTAAATGAAGAGAATGTGGTTGTATAAATCGGGAATGAGATCATTTTGCTGGCCTCATTTAGCCACGCAGGATAAAAACTCACAAAATTAAGATATATAAAAATATCTAAGAAACACTCATTTGTTTACATTCACTTTCTTCTCCTACCTACCAAGTTTGTTTGTAACTAGACTGTTCACACTGAGGCAATAAACATAAGAACATAGGTGATTAAAAAAATAACTATGCCTCAAGGGCTATAAAACCATGCATAGCCTTTAACGGAGCCATACCACTACTAGGTCTGTCTCCAAAGAGGTTTGGGGGGGGAAAAAAAAGGAAAAACATTTATAGCAGCTCTTTATGTGATGGCAAAGCATTGGAAATTGAGGGGATCCCCATTAATTAGGGAATGGCTGAACAAATTGCATGTGATTGTGATGGAATATTATTATGCTATAAGAAATGATGAGTAGGATGCTCTTAGAAAAACCTGAAAAGACTTACATGAAGGGAAAAGAACAAAACCAGGAGGACATTGTATATAGTTATAGCAATATTGTATGATCAACTGTGAATGACTTATGAAAAATGCCATCCATTTCCAGATGATGGAATCTGAATGCATATTGAAGCATACTTTTTCTTTACTTTCTTTATTTTTCTTATTTTTTATCTGTGTTTTCTTTCACAACATGACTAAATTGGAAATATGTTTTACATGACTGCACATGTACAACCTATAGCAAATTACTTGCCTTTTCAATGAGAAGGGAAGGGGAGGGAAAGAGTGAATTTGGAACTCAAAAAGATTTAAAAAACAAATGTTAAGAATTGTTTGTACATGTAATTGGGAGAAAATATTTTTTTCAAAAGAAAAGAAATAAAAATGCTCTAAATCATTAATAATAAGAGAAATTATATTAAAACAACTAAGGTTCAACCTCATACTTCTCAGGTTGGCAAAGATGACAGAAGGAAAATGACAATTGTTAAAGGGACTGGGAGAAGACCAAAACACTAATAGTGTACTGTTGGTAGAGCTGTGAATTAGTCCAACCATTATTGAAAGCTGCTAACAGGAATGGATCCTGGGAGGATTCTGGGAGTCAGCAAGAATGCTTCACCTCAAGGGGAAACTCCTGGTAACGAGGATTCCATGATGATAGGACACTGGAGAATAAGAAGCTTCGGCCACATACAGTTCCTAGATTTGTGCCTATCATACTCTACGTTTGTATGGACTCTGCCCATGGACTCTGTGTATTTGTGGGAGAATATGCCTCAGATTTATGGGGTAAATGTTTTGTAGCTACAGTTTTTACTACATCCCCTTAGTAAATGCCCTTGCTAAGAGCTAGTTGTTTCTACTGGCTGACTGTTAATGAAAAGTACACTAGTTGGAGCTCATAAGCTAACGTAGTAGGAACAGTTATCTAGGGCACCCCTAGAACATAAGGAAGTATCTGACCTCTATGAGACTCAACCCATTAGTGACTTTGATTTAAAGAGGGGACAAAGAGGAGCCCAGAATAAGTACTGAACTTTTAAAAGGCTGTAAATGATAGGTTCCTAGTTTCATATACAAAGAATAGGGGGAAATAGATGATCATATGTAGAAAAAAGTATGTTTGTTGATGATTATCAAGTTTATAATTTTTAAAAGGGAAAATTATGATTCAGTATGTTTTTTTAATTAACCTGAGACAGGAGAGGTATGTATGTATACATACATATCCATCTTCAGTCCCATTACCACTAGGTATCCAGTCTCATATGGCTATTCCCTAATAATCAGCTCTAGCCCCTGGAATGGTATGGGGCATAACATTCCCCATCCTTTTCCCTTAGAGTCTAAGGCTTAGACCTTTCCTTCACTAGGTAAAAGAGGGATTAGAAGGAATAGCACCTCTAGTCTCACCTTTTTTTATTTTTTATTTTTTTGTGAGGGCAACTGGGGTTAAGCGACTTTCTCAGAGTCACACAGCTAGTGAGTGTTACGTGACCGACACCAGATTTGAGGTTGGGTCCTCCTGACTTCAGGGCCAGTGCTCCCTCTCCTTTTTATTCTTAATTGTACTAGAAGGAAAGTTGAGCACTGAAAAATTGATGCTTTCAAATTGTGGTGTGGAGAAGACTTCTGAGAGTCCCTTAGATGATAAGGAGATCAAATCGGTCAATACTTAAAGAAATTAATTCAGACTACTAATTGAAAGGACAAATACTAAAGTCGAAGCTTAACTACTTTGGCCACATAATGAGAGGACAGGACTCGTTAGAAAAGACCCTGATGCTGGAAAGACTGAAGGCAAAAGGAGAAGGGGACAGCAGAAGATGAGATGGATAGATATATCATGGAAGCAAGGAACATGCGCTGTTTTGACTTTGGGAAAATGGAAGATAAAAGGGCCTGTGATGCTATGGTCCATGATGTCATGAAGAATGGGACAGGATTGAACAACAAAATGATTAGCTGAATGGCTCTTAGTAGTATTCCTAGAAGAGAAGGACAAGGAGTGGGATTTTACTTGTCCATGGAACAAAGGGCAAAGGTTTCTAGCTGCACAGGTCCATTTTCAGGCTTATTTCCAAAGTGACATGTATGGCAACAAGGGGCATTCATTATGGGCAAAAAAAAATTCTTCTCACCTCATTTCTAATCTGCCCCTTTGCAAAGTAACAAAGTGTATTCTCTGTGGGAAGAGTTGACAGGGACTAGGGGAATGCCATAGGGTCATATAACTAAGATAAGGTTTAGACTGAGGTTTAAAGAAGTAATTAGAAAAGAGATGTTGCCTCAAACTACCTTGAATTTGTTCTGCACATACTTGTATCCATCCCTGTTTCCCCAGCAGCCAACATGGCACCCAGCATATTTATTGTTATTCAGTTATTTCAGTTATGTCCAACTCATTGTGACCCCATTTGGGGTTTTCTTGGCAAAGATACTGGAGAGGATTGCCTCATTTTACAGATGAGGAAACTGAGGCAAACAGGAGTAAGTGCCTTGCCCAGGGTCACATAGCTAGTAAGTGTCAGAGGCTGGATTTGAACTTGGGTATTCCTGACTCCAGGCCTGGTACTCTATCTACTTCACCACCTAGCTGCCCATAGCCTGGCACCTAGTAGGTGCTTAATAAATGCTTGTTGATTAAGTGATTAATGAAAGGCCAGAGGGTGGATTCAACTTTTGCCCTACTTCCCATTAGTAACCAACATCTTAGAGAAAAATTCCCAGAGAAATTCCTAGAGGAGAAATAGATTGTTAGGCTTCAAACTTAGGGACAATGAACAGACATTAAGACTAAAAAAAACATTTAAAAATAAAGGTTTGGAGTTTTATTAAAGTTCACCTTTGACATTCACATCATGATTAAAAACAGGCTACAGCAGCAGCCTTGACCCGTATATACTGTGATGAGCACAGTCCTCTCCCTTCCCTTGGACAACAGATTAACAATTGTTGAATGTAATTGTAATGTACCATGCTAAGGATTAGGCCTCACCCCTGCCCTAGGTACTGGACCTGCCCACCCTCCTTAACGACAATACTCTGAGGTGGTAGTGACATTGGATCTGCTACAGTTGAGTACCCCGGCAGTAGCTGGAGTGTCTAAATTTCTACAGATGGGTTTCTTTGGGTGGCTGGGACTGCTCTGGGCTGTCAGCCTCTGGGTTCTCTAAAACATCTGCTGGTACAGACAGAAGTGAATCTTCTTCCAAGCACTTTGCAAAATCCATTAAGAGTGTAACCAGTTCCTTGATTTGACTGTCTACATTTGGATTTGCTTCCTGGTCAGGGGGCATCTGGGCTGCCGCCGTGTGGCCTTTCTCATTCTGACCGTGGTCAAACATGTGCTCGTCCGATTGCTCTGGCTTGGGGGACACCCCTGTCTTATTTTCTTTGTCAGCCATCTGGATCCTTGAAAAGTGCTTTAAATAAACCCTCACTTCTATGATCGATTGCACCAGCTTTTCAAATACTGCCAGAGTTTCCTTCAGGGCACCGAAGGCATTGGATTCCTTTGCTTGGGAAATTATTAGCATTTTAGTCCCTGGGGAAAAGGCCTGGGTCATGTACTCCAGAGAAAGCCAAAAGATTCTCTGCCCTACCGTGCGGTAGGTAATGTCTGTCTCCTGGATGTCAGCCTCCTCATCCAAGAGAATCTCAACTGCTACTGCGGCTGCTGCTTCTACCGCTGCTTCTAATGCTGAGGCTGCTGCTTTCACTCTCTTGGCTACTTGGGCCACCCTGGGATCTTTTTTGTTCAAACTACACCCAGGAGCGAGTTCTTCCGCTGGGCCAGCCTGCAGTGCCTTCCGCGTTTCCTCTCCATTGGGAGGCACGCCTTCCCCTACCTCCCTGAGCATCACCTCCATTTGAACTGCACAGGCTTGCTGCTCTTCAAGGCAGTCCAGAAATTCTCTGCAGCTTGCTATGGCCTTCTTAAGGGCTCTCACAGCCTCCTCCTTGTCCTCCTGTACACCTGGAGATGGTTCCGGACTTGGAGCTCTGGCCGGCACTTGAGTTGTGGTCGAGGTTGTAGGCTGTTGGCTTTCCTCCATCTGCTGAGTCCTTCGTTCAGGGAGTCCGTGTACCTTCAAACAGCGACTGCACAAAGGCTGAGGGTCTTGTGTAAAATAATGTGGACGTGGATCGATTTCTGGCTTCTTTTCGACTTTGGCTGAGAGGTAGTAATATGGTGCTTGGCAGGAAGTAAAGGGCTCTGCTACAGAATCGAACGACTTGGGGGCATATTTTGCAACAGCAAAAGCCAAATCCTTTAAATTCAACCCTCGACAAGCTATTGCAGGAATTTTCCAAGCAGCTTCTGGTGGGAGCACTTTGTGCTCTGGGATCCTACAGTTGTGGAATTTAAAACGCTTGATACATTTGCAGCATTTCATGGATTCAGTATGGGGATGGACAGGGTTGTGACTTCTCTGAAGGAAGTTGGATGAAGAAGTGCTAGGTTCTGGAGGAAAGAGTAAAAAGGTTTATTCTAGTCAGGCCTGACATACTGCTTGTCTGTGTCCTAGTTTGTTTATCCCCATTATAGGCTGCTAACAGCTTCATCATTCAGAGATGAGCCCAGGGACTCAGTACCAACCTTGTAGGTGCACAGATGAATTTATTCACCAAAAATTTCAGGGACCCAGAGATACCCCTCCTCCCACTAGAACTTCCCTTGCTTGTAATTAATACCTTGAACATTAATTCAAAGGTTTGGATGTCTACTGTGTGTTAGGGCTCATGAGGCCTGCCCTTTAGAGGAGCAAGATAAAATATATCTGCAAGCAGACTATAATACAAGGCAGAATGTGATAAATGCATAAAGGGAAAAAAGAAAGTTAAAGCAAAGCCTTTGTTCCATAGTCAGCAAACAGGCTTATGCCGTCCCAGGGAGAGGAGCCAGTGAAATCCTTGTTCCTTGGCTTATCTTTGGCTTATCAGTACGTGTTTGGAATCTTAGAGCTGGCAGAGCCTTCGAAGGCCATTAAATTCATCCTATAACTAAATAAGGAACTCCTTCGACCACATACCAGACAAGTGACCATTCAGCTCCCAAGGCTACTTTTAAATAGCTCTAGTTGTTACAAAGAATTACTTCCTGAAATCTAAATTGTCATCTTTGCACCTTTAGGTAAACCTGGAGACATCTGGGAGGGCAATAAGGAGAGTACTCGGCTTAGATTCAGGAAGACTCGAGTTCAAATCTGGTCTCAGATACGTAAGAGTTGTGTGACCTTGGGCAAGTCATTTAACCTTTATCTGCCTCAGCTCACTCATTTGTAAAAGAGAGATAATTATATCACCTCCCTCTCAGAGTGAGAATAAAACAAGATGTTTTTGTAAAGCACTTAGTGGAATGCCTGAAACATTAAGTAGGTGCTTAATAAAGCTAGGTTCCTTCCTTTGCCTACTGCTTCTAGTTATACCCCCTACCTTTCTTCCCTTACCCTCCTGTAGTCATAGAAGGAATGTGCTAGTAAATGTCTGATAACTGAATAGTGCTGTGTGTGGAATGTATGCATAATATATTTAAGTTTAATGCATTAACATTTTCTCCATCACTTTCTTAAGTCTAGTCAAGCCTAATTTTTGGTGTTTGCTTATTTCCAAGGTATAAATGCTCACACTAAAAATTGAACAATTGGTTCTTGTGATCCCATTGTCATTAATTCTAGCACATAGTTGGTCATTAGAATTTAGAGTTAGATTAAATTCACTTCTATGTTCCTTACAACTCGCCTCTAGTCAAATATCTGTTTTATCAAATAGTCCATTCCACTTACAGAGAGTTCTCATAGGTAGGAAGTTTTTTGACTCATTGAGCCAAAGCCCGTCTCCACAGAACTGCCACCCATTGACCCTAGTTAATAATTTAATTTAAAGTCTTGATCCAAGACTTCTCCAAGACAAAACAACCCTTGTATCTTCCTATGATTGTTTTTCGACACTTCGTTCAACTTGTCAGTTCTCTTCTTTTCCCTTTCTCCTCAACCCTGTGAGATGATCTCCTTTACTCTAGTTTCTGAATTTACCCTTCTTGCTAAGGTGAACCTCTCTCTGTGTACTCTTGATCCATCCTTTGTCTTTTCCAGTGGATTGACCCTCAATCATCCCCTCTCTTACCAACCTATATAGATGTTTTTTTTTTCTTAAGGCAACAGGGGTTAAGTGACTTGCCCAGGGTCACACAGCCAATGTCAAGTGGTTAGTCTGAGACCGGATTTGAACTCAGGTCCTCCTAACTTCAAGGCTGGTGCTCTATCCACTGTGCCAGCTAGCTGCCCCCATGCCTATATAGATGTTCAACTATCCCCTTTCAATTCCCTTCCCCCCCAAAAAACCCTTAAGAAACCTTACCGATATACCAGCATTTACCTTTTTTGTCAATTAAACTGCTTGAAAAAAATTTGCCCATAGTCATTAATCATTTCCACTGCCTCACCTATCTCTTTTAAGCCTTCTCCAATCTGATTTCCAACATAACTATTCTCTTCAGAGTCACTGATGACTTCTTTGCCATATCTAATGGCCTTTTCCTCCACTTCATTGCTCTTGATTTTTGCCACATTTAACACTATTGGTCACTTTTCCTACTGGATACTCTTCTCTGGATTTTTTTATGACAATTCTCTGTTCTACTTACCTGCTTATTTTTTTCAGCCTCTTTTGCTAACCTCACCCTAAGGGTGTCTCTCAAGATTTTGACCTAGGGGCAGCTAGGTGGCACAGTGGATAGAGCATTGGCCCTGGATTCAGGAAGACCCGAGTTTAAATCCGGCCTTGAACACGTTAATGCTTACTAGCTGTGTGACCCTGGGCAAGTCACTTAACCTCAGTGCCTAGCCAAAAAAAAAAAAAAGACTTTGCCTGAATTCCTTCTCTTTTTCCTTTAAATTCTTGCTTGTGCATTTTATCAGTCCCCATGAGGTTAACGATCAGATGATTTACAGATCTATGTACCCAGCCCAAATCTCTCTCCTAGTCCTCCATCACTAACTGCTTATGGGACATTTTGAACTAGATGTCTCATAGGCATCTCAAAAGTCCCAAACAGAACCTAGTATATTTCCCCAAAACACTGACCCCTATTCTGAGCATCTCTATTTCTGTCAAGGGTACCACCATCCTCTAGCACCCAGATTCTCAACCTCAATTGATGCTGTACTCTCCTTTACCTCACATGTCTAATTGGTTTAACAAATGTCTCCCTCAGGGAAAAACATACTGCCAGGCACATTTTTAAAAGTTTAATCTACCTTACTTAACACTTCCTTTATCACTTAAATCTAGTCAATCAAAACAATGTACCTGCTGTTCCCTTCAACTTACTGTGTGAGACTCCTAGGGTAGCTGGGACCACAAAGGGACATCTAGGCTCTAAAAGTCAAACAGTCAATAAGCATTTATTAAGTGCCTACTCTGTGCCAGTCACTGTGCTAAGCACTGAGGATACAAAGAAAGGCAAAAATAGTGCCTGCCCTCAAGGAGCTCACAGTCTAATGGGGGAGACAACATGCAGACCACTACACAGAAACAAGAAACGGACAGGATATTTTGGAGATAACCAATAAAGGGAAGGCACTAGCATGAAGGAGTATCAGAAAAGGTTTTCTAGAGAAGGTAGGATTTTAGCTCGGATTTGAAGGTAGTTAGGGATGCCAGGAAGGAGAACTGAGGAAGAGCATTCCAGGCATGGAAGAATGGCCAGAGTTGGAAGACAGAGGGTCCTGTTGGAAAAACAGCAAAGAGGTCAGAGTCACCGGATCACAGAATGTGTGGAGGGAATAAAGGTGTAAAAAGACAAGAGAGATAGAGAGATGGATAGAGAAGAATGCCAGAGGGTTTTTTATTTGATTTTGGAAATGATAAGGAACCACTGGAGTTTATTGGGGGAGGAGGGAAGGCAGAGGGTGAACCTGTCAGATCCATGCTTCAGGAAGATCAGTTTGACAGCTGAGTGGAAGATAAACTGGCATGGGAAGAGACTTAATGAAAACCTATCTACTATGTGAGGCCTACTCAAATACTATCCCCCTCCACAAAGCTTGATCTGATTACACTACATAAATATTTCCCCTTTCTGAACTCCTACAGAATCTGACATATGCTTCTCTTAGGGTATAGATTATAGTTTGTAAATAATGCAGGAGGTCTAAAACCTCAAGCATGGTCTTTATATAGGCTGGCTTCAGTGTCAGGGACTTTTCACAAGGTCAGACTTTGATTCATGTTCCTATAACAGGGCTTGGGAGGCACCAGGGACCTGCTTCTGGGAGAAGACAGTGTGTGGGTAGGAGCAGCATCTTTGTAACTGGAAGAGATTGCAATTTTAAAACTACCAGATGAACATATTCATATTGTCTCTCTCTCCTTCCCTCCTTTCCTCCTCCCCCCCCAACCCCGACTTCTCACTCTCTGGTGTCCAGAAAAGGTGAGGGTCCCATTCATCCACAGCATGAACACCATGAATTGAACGGGGTGAGGGGAAGTTTCCCCTCCCCTTTTTATCTTTGGCCCTGATAACCAGAATTGGTGTTTTGTTTTTGGTTAGTTTCCTTCGTCCTTTTCAGGTCTAGATTCAAGCAATGGAAGCCTTGACTTGGAATTGAGCTCTGGTGGCCTTGGAGGCAAGATTCCAGGTTAGATGTTGCAGCCAGGTCAACAGAAAGCCCTGAGAAGTCAGGATCCCAGAGACTTGAGCCCAAGAGGGGCTTTGGACTTGGAACTTGATGGGATTATTCCAAATAGGAACTGAGCTAAATCGTGAGCCTTATCCCCACTCCTTCCCAGAGACTAAGGGACAAGGGAAGGGGGTTATGCACTCCCCAGGTATCTGGAGAAGGGGATTTGGATACATTATGCCTTTAAAATAAATATTCCATTGTAAAAGCTAAGTGGTTAAATGGAATGAGATTCAGAGGACTGCTAAAATTTGGGGAGATACCCTCAGTGGGGGGCTGGAGTGAATGGCAGAGACTATACTCCTTTAAAGGTACCAGAGAATCCTAGGTAAGGGCAAAATATAAGATATCTGATAATCAGGCACTGGGGGGGGCGGGGGGGGGAGGGTCCAGATAGTCACTATTACATTCTCAACTGTAGTCTCTCCTAAAAACAAGAGAATGTAGTTTACATCTAGGTCTTTATGGAAAAAGTAAAAAGGGGTCCTTTAACTCCCAGGCAAACTAGTAATACCTCATTTGATATAGGTTACCCTACCAAAGAACAAAAACTGTGGGATAAAAAGACTTAAAGAAACCTATAAAAGTCAATATAACTCTCTAATTCTCCTGGCCCCTGAAAGGAAAACACAGGCTCCCCAAAGAGAGGAGAACATTTGGGATCATCCGAAAATCAACCTGTTAACTTCCAGTGAGCGCAATCTCAACTATAGACTTACACAGTCCTCCAGACCAGAGGTGCCAAATTTGTTGCTGGGTGGCAAGGGGTCTTCAAAACTCAAGTGCCAGGGAACCAGATTAAAATGTAGTTGGGAAATGTTTAACAAAAGAAATTAAAATATAATGTAGACAATGTTAATTTGTGGTTTCCTACATCAGTATGTGGCCTTTGGGGATCCATTTCTACAATTCGCCCTTCCACATCTCTGGAATCAGGGGTGTTGTGCCCTGCCTCCATGTGAAAAATCCCCTTAAAATTTTAAAATCCCCTTCCTCATACCACAGAAGTCTGAATTATTATGTTATTAAAAGATAAAATATATTGATATCATACAATACTATACATATATTTTATGCATTTCTGAGTTTCTAAACTTTTTCTGTGTCATCTATTGGCCTTCATGTGCTCATCTGTGGCTTCCACAAAACTCCTAAAAAATTCCCATTTAATTTCTTATGCCAACTTGCAATATATCAAAACTAGGATGGGGAAAAATCATGATGTGGAAGGGATAACTGCATTTGAGTTTGACACCTCTCCTTTAGACTTACGATGTTACCCCTAAAGTTAAGTTTCACAGGAGGTTGCTTAAAATTCAACCCCCTTTCCATTGGGTCAACCCAGTGACCAGAACATAGTAGGTACTTAATAAACACTTGTTAACTTGATCTGTACAGTCTGCATAATTCACATTACAGGGAAAAGTCTAGATTCTGTATCATGACTGGTTCCCTGGTTCCTCCTCAAACTCCGGGGCCATGTGGTCATTGTTATTCTCTTTAGGAGAGCAGAACCTGGGACACCTGTCCTACCACAGTTCCCATCTCTTGGCACCTTCTCCAAAGGCCCTGAGGAAATTCCTTCACTGTTCTGCAACTGCTTCTTCAAGACTAACAGAGTTGGTGGGGCAGCTAGGTGGCACGGTGGATAGAGCACCAGCCCTGGAATCAGGAGGACCCAAGTTCAAATCCCACCTAGACCAAATGCTTGACACTTATTAGCTGTGAGACCCTAGGCAAGTCACTTAACCCCAACTGTCTAAAAAAAAAAAGACTAACAGAGTTGGGCCCTAAGGAGTCTGTTAGGGATGAGGTGACACCCCCCCCCCGCAACCTTTGCCCTAATGCTCAGGGGCCCAAGTCTGTTGTCCAGTTGATATCTCCCTCAGCTCTCCATCTCTGCTCAGCTCTTTAAGAGGCATAATCCAAAGGTAAGGCTCAGCTCCACACCAGCTATGACTCAAGTTATCCTCAATGGACCCACAAGCACCCAAGCAAGGGTACTTTTCATAGTCCAACAAGGAGACACAGCTAACCTAAGTTCCCTGAGAGCAAGGACTGAGTCTAGTCATAGTCCCTACATCACTTAGTAAATAATTAATAAATATGTTGAATTAACATAAAAAAACCAGGAAGATCTAGAAAATGTCTCTTAAGTATGAAGTATTATTTACCATAAAAGGGAGGGTCAAGACTGTCACTCAAAACCTAGTCAAAAGAAAATGTCACCCAATTGGCTTGCATACTCTTTACTCCAAGGTCTAACATAAAAATTCTCTTTCATACTCCACTCCTACATACACATTTTCCCCTTTCTCCCTTCCCTGAAGGGTGCTAATCTTGCTGACATCCAACCTGAAGAACTTTTAGGATCATCAGAAAATCAACCAGTTACCTTTCATGGGGTCCAAGAACCATTCCTAAGGCCTCAGCCAATAGGGCAGGGATTCTTAATCTGGGCTCTATAGGTTCCCAAGGAGTCCATTTTAGGAGATCAGTGAACTAGATAGGGGGAAAGCTACATCTTTATTTAGATAAAATTGATATCCACATCCAGAAAAAGAACCATGGAGTCTGAATACAGATAGAAGCATACTATTTGCTCTCCTTTTCTTTTATTGTTTTGTTTATTCTTTCTTATGGTTTCCTCCCATTAGTTCTAATTTTTCTATACAGCATGACTAATGTGAAAATATGCTTAATATATATGTATAAGTAGAGCCTGTCTCAGACTGCACGCCGTCTTGGGGAGAGGGGAGAAGAAAGGGGAGAAAATTTGAAACTCAAAACTTTGTGAATGTTGACAACTAAAAATAAAATCATTTTTAAAAAATTTAAAAATAGATATAATTGATTTCCTTCATAATCCTATGGACTTTGTTTAAAAAGAGAAAGGATTCATAGACTTTTTCACCAGATTGGCAAAAAAAAGTCTATGACACAAGAAAGGTTAAGGAGCCTTTCATTAGGGAATGGCCTGCAAATCAGAGATAAGGCATTTTTCAGTGGAGGAAGGAAGAAACTTTCTCTAACACTAGCTACTATTAAAGAGACGGACCATATATGTCATAATCAGTCCATTAATTCAATTAATGGGAACAAATAGGATAGGACCATTCTTTTTATGTTCCCCTATAAGCCACCTATTATGTTCTAGACATCATGGATACAAAGACAAAGAAAAGAAAAAAAACACCTCCCCCCCCCATGTTATAATTTTTGCTTTACCCTACTCCTCATCTGATTTTACCTAGATATAGGTGTTGGAAGAGAGAGGCTAGACAAGAAGCCACCAAATGTAGATTGCTTCAGTTCTGTCTAATTCATCTAAGAACAGCTCTGGGCCTATCTGGACCCCATTCCACTGCTGACACCCAGTCCCAATTATTCCTCCCCCTAACACAGGCCTTAAAAAGATCCAGGCACACAAATCTCTGGTCCCTAAGTCAATTTAACAAGACCTCAAAATCACCTTATTACTGCTTCCCCTCCCGCTCCTGCTCCTCCCCCTCCCCCTCTTCCTCCTCCTCACTTTCATCTTCTTTCTCATGCCTAGTTTCAGGTCCAGGTTCGGTTGCAGATTCCGGCACATTTTGGGATTCAGGTGCAGGTTTAGGCACGCTTGTGGGTTCAGGTGCAGGTTTAGGCACACTTCCGGGTTCAGGTCCAGGTTCGGTTGCAGATTCAGGCACATTTTGGGGTTCAGGTCCAGGTTCGGTTGCAGATTCAGGCACATTTTGGGGTTCAGGTGCAGGTTCGGTTGCAGATTCAGGCACATTTTGGGATTCAGGTGCAGGTTTAGGCACACTTCTGGGTTCAGGCGCATTTCTGGGTTCTGGTTGGGGTTTTGGTGTGGGTTTGGCATGGGGTTCAGTTGGATTGCTGGCCTTAGCTTTGGCTTTTTTCTTCTTGCCTTTGGACATGTCTTACCTATATCTGGGACTTCAAACACCACAGGACAGGAGAATTAGCAAGGAAAGGGTGGGGAAAGGAGATGAGATGATAATAAAAACAGATAAAATTCTAATATCAAGAGACAACTGGGACCAGGAAAACTGTGCTTGCTCGCTCTGCTGATTTATAAGGATTTGACCTCTCAACTCTCCCTCTACCAGACCAGCTGGCAATTGATGCTGTTAATTTGTGATTATTAGTCTCATCCTTGCTGGTTAATTAGTCTCACCCTTGTTTTGCCTTTTCTAAGCTGGTGAAATCCCTCTCAGTCCAGTTGACTGTCTTGGGGGGAGGGGGAAGGGAGAAATGCTATCCTGGAGATAGAGACAACAGATAGGATCTCAATAATCACAATCCTAATTGAGTTGATTCCCTCCCACCGCTTGCTGCCCCAGGAATAGGCAGAAAACCTCTTTGTATAAGGAAGTTTAAACAAAATGAATCAATGACCAAAGAGGATTTTTAGCTTTTCCCCAGTCCTACTGTCCTCCTCTTTCTGTAAGGTGTATTTACATATTTCACATGGTTTTGAAGAAGTCATTTTGTAAAAATAAGCTATCAAGATGTGAATTATTGCTGATAATTGTTTGGGTGTTTTGTCTCCCCATCAGACTATGGGTTGCCATTTCCAGGTTCTCCCCTTATCTCTATCACTCAGTAACCTCTTCTCCTTTGAGGTTCACGCAAGTCAGATCTACCACACAATCAAAATCCAGGTAGCTTTTGTCTACAAACACCTCCTCTCCCTCCCCCTACCTCCCCTTCCTTCCTGAACAAGTTCAGTGACTGACTCACAATTCTTCTCCCCAACTTCAGCCTTCATACTAGGAGACTTCAATATAATAATGACTCTTCTTCAAGTACCCTAACTACTCAGTTCCTCAACCCACTCACTTCCTATAACACCTCAGACACACACAAAGATGGTCACATCCTTGATCTTGCTTGCCATTATCCATAAATTCACCATCTACATGTATAAGAATTCCAAAATGCTTTTATCTGACTGTAGTCTAACAGCTTTCCATTTCTCTCTGTCTCTCTGCCTTCCTTAACCAAAACCTACTCTTCATCTATACCTTGACCTCCAATAAGAATTCTGAAATCCTTTCATGTCACTGTAATGGCTTTCCACTCTGCCTCTGCCTTCCCTAGCAAACCCCAGTCCATATCATGACCTCCAATCCCTTGACACCCCAGTTCTCTCTCCAGCCATCTCCCCTGTGCTAGCCATTCTCTTTTTGCCTCCATTTTGACCCCTGAGAGAAACATTCAGCTCCACATTGTCCTTTTCTCTTGAGCCCCTAGCCCTTTATCATATCACTGATTTCACCCTGCCAATATTCAGCTTTGGATGACTCTTACCATATGCTATCTTTGCTCCTAAATTTGTGCTGCTGAATGAAGGCAGCCATTCTGATCAAGTCTACTACAGATTTTTGTTACACAACCTCACTGGGCCTTCACTGCCGCTAGGCAATCCTACTATATCCCCCGTATCAACTATCTCACTCTTCACAATGGCTCTTCTGAACCTTTTCATCCCTCTTCAAACTTCCCATGGCTCCCCCCTCCCCACCTTCTCAGCTGATATCCTCGATTCATATCTAACAGAAAAAATTGAGACCATTCGCCATGAGCTCTTCTCCTTTCCTCTTCCTCTTCTCATGTCTTTCCACATCCTACTCTTTCCTCCTTCACCCCTGTCTCACATGAAGAGGTGGCCTTACTCCTTCCCAAAGCTAACCCCTCCTCTACCTACACAAGTGATCTCATTCTATTCCATCTCCTCCCTCTCTGCCATTCTCACTCTATCACTTATCTTCAGTCTTTCCCTGTCTACTGACTCCTTCGCTGTTGCCCACAAATATATATCTGTATCTCCCCCACCCTCAAAAAAAACCCAAACAACCCTCTCTTGATCCTTCCATCCTTTCGAACTGTAGTCATGTATCTCTTCTGCCCTTGGTAGCTAAACTCCATAAAAAGGCCTTCCAACAATAGGAGCTTCCACATTCTTTCCTCTCATTCCCAAACCCCTTACAATCTCCAACCTCATCATTCCACCAAAACTGCTCTCTCCAAAGTTACCAATGATCTTTTAGTTGCCAAATCCAAGTCTTTTCTCAGTCTTCATTCTTCTTGACTTCTTTGCAGCTTTTGACACTGTACATCATTCTCTCCTCCTTGATGCTCTCTTCTCTCTAGGATTTTGGGGCACTACTCGCTCCTGGTTCTTCTACTAATCTACCCACTCCATTTCAGTCTCCTTTGCTTGATCCTCACCCAGATGACGCCCTGTAAGGAAAGCTGTTCCCACAGGGTTCTGTTCTGGGCCCTCTTCTCTTCTGTTTCTATACTATGTCACTTGATGATCTCATCAGCTCCCATGGATTTAATTATCATCTCTATGCTAACAATTCTTAAATCCACCTATCCTGCCCTCACCTATTGCTGACTTCCAATTTTCAACTTCCTTTCAGACACTTTAAACTGGATGTCCAGTAGACATATTAAATTCGTGTCCAAAATTGAATTCCTTATCTTTCCCCCCAAACCAAGAGTGGTGAACCTGAAGCCTGGAAGCCACCTGTGGCCTTCTACGTCCTTGGGTGTGACTTTTTGTCTGAGTCCAAGTTTTACAGAACAAATCCTTTTATTAAGAGGGGTTTAATTCTAGTGCCTTATGTCTTTTAATTATGTCTGTTTATCATGTATAAGGGCAGGTAGGTGGTGAAGTGGATAGAACACTGGGTTTAGAATCAGGAAAACTTAACTTCCTGAGTTCAAATCTGGTCTCAAACATTTACTAGTTGTGTGACTCTAGGCAAGTCACTTATCCCTGTTTGCCTCAGTTTCCTCATCTGTAAAATGAGTTAGAAAAGGACAAGGCAAACTACTCCAGTGTCTTTGCCAAGAAAAACCCTAATGGGGTCATAAAGAATCAGACATGACTGAAACAACAACTGTTGACTATTGTGTATAAAGCTTGTTTATATGTATTTGTTTACTTGTCTCCCCCATTAGATTGTGAGCTCCTTGAGGGCAGGGACTGTATTTTGCCTCTTTTTTGTACCCACAGCACTTAGCACAGAGCCTGACATGTTGTAGGTGCTTGGTAAATGTTTATGGACTGACCTTTGTAGCTCCTTCAGTACCTAAGTCAATAAATGTTTGTTGAATAAAGGAATGAATGAATGAATGTGTCTGGGCAGTGGTCCCTCTGAGAGCAGCTCATTAATCTCTTCTACCCGTGCTGCTGTTTCACTTAGTGAGAATAGTCAGGAAGCCACTGTAAGTAGAATTGTAGCTACTTTGATTCCTCCATAGATAGATGTGTGTGAGCTTGTCGATGCCAACATCACCTCCACTCTGCTTCTTCTCTTCCTCCATGTCTTCCCAAAACACATTTCTGAGAGTAGAGAGGGTCTACCTAATATGCTGAGAGCCATCCCACAGATATCTTGACATTGTGAATATGCTAATGGAACAGGTCTGTCCATCAGTCCTCCTGGGTTCTTGCTACATGACCAGCTCACTTTGTTTTCTGCTCTTGTATCTCTAATGACAGACTTTTCACCATTCTTTTGAAATTCTTAGCAATATGTTTCAGCATTCATTTTGTTGTTGTTATGCAGTTGTTTTTCAGTTGTGTCCAACTCTTGGTGACCCCATTTGAGGTTTTCTTGACAAAGACACTGGAGTGGTTTGCCGTTTCCTTCTCCAGCTCATTTTACAGATGAGGAACTGAGGCAAACAGGGTTAAGTGACTTGCCCAGGGTCACACAGCTAGGAAGTGTCCGAGGACAGATTTGAACTCAGGAACTAGAGTCTTCCTGACTCCAGGCTCTCAGTGCGCCACCTAGCTGTTCTACTGAATATTTACCAAAACTTTACTTCAACCCACCAGGGATATGTAACAAGGTTATAATAGCTTCTCTAGTCATGGTCTCCTTTATCTCCTTCTGGAAACACATCTGGTCAGTTGGCCATCAGAGTCTTAGACATCCACCAAGTCCGAGAGGCCCAGATTCCACATAAGTGAGCTTTGTTATGCTCCAAGATAACCAAGAAGCTACTTTAGGGAAACTGAGGCTAATGAGGTCCTTGAGGCAGCTTTGTCTTTTTGGGGTAAAGCCTCCCCATATTATGGATGGGAGGAAAGAATGTGAATCAGGAAAATGCTGGTCTTATCATAGCATTAAATGTTTGTTTCAAAAGGCTTGGGATCATTAAAGGCATGAAATAAACACTCAAAAGGTATAAAACAAAACCCTTCAACCTACCTATCTTCCAAATTTGTCTGTTTCTCTCAAAGACATCACCACAGGTGGCTAGGTGAATAGGAGTCAGGAAGATCTGAGTTCAAATCTAGCCTTAGTTACTATCTGGGGCAAGTCACTTAACCTCTGTCTGACTCAATTTCCTCAACCATAAAATAAGGATAGTAATAGCACCTCCCTCCCGGGATTGTTGTGAGGATCAAATAAGACAATATTTGTAAAGCTCTTAGTACAGTGCCTGACACATATATAGTAGGTGCTATATAAATGCTTGCTTCCTTTCTTCTCACACCTATCCAGGCACCCAGGTTTACAATCTCAGGGTCAGGCTCAACTTTTTCCTCACCCCCAGATCGAATCTAACATTCTCTTTTAACCATTCCCTTCTCTCCACTTCTTTGCACATCCACCACTCTAATTTGGACCCTCATCACCTTTGGCCTGGGCTACTGAAAGAGTCTCCTAACCTGTCTCTTTGCCTCACTTTTCCGCAGTCCAAACCATCTTCCACACAGCTGCCAAAGTGATATTCCTAAAGAATGGGTCTGACCCTGTCACTCCCCCACTCAAGAACTTTCAGTCACTCCCTATGGTCTGTAAAGCCCCCTCAAAGTATGGCTCCAACCTATCTTTCCAGACATCACTCCCCATTCCTAACTTTACATTCTAACCAACTTGGCTCTTTCACCCACCTCCATAGACAACACACTGTCTTCCATCTCTGTGCCTTGGCATAGGCTATCCCCTCATGCTCTCCCCTCCCCACAAAAAAAAAATCTTTGTATTTGCTCTGTATTTTAATTAGGCTTATCTATGCACATGCAATTTCCTTACCACCTTTCTCACCAGTACAAGAGGGTTTTCCACTGTCTACTCCCTGCTCCTTGAAGGCAGGGAAGGACTGTTTCATTTCTTTTTATCTCTCTCCAGAGTGTATCATAATGCTTCTGGCACATAGTAGATAGCCTATAAATGTTTACTGGATTGAATTAAGCACTGTCAGTAATTGGAATAAATACCAGGAACAAATGGACGAGATGAACGTGTTCCCAAGAGTCTGATTTGAGTCCTATCTTTGCTCCATACTGCTGTGTGACCTTCAGAAATTTACTGTCTTTATTTCCCTATCGTATTTCTCATTAATAGGGTGCTTTAAGGGTTAAAAAAAAAACCAACTCTTGGAGGCAGGTAATGTAAGTACTATTATTCCCATTTTACAGATGAGAAAATTGAGGCTAGGAGAGTGAAACTCTGTGTCAGAGCTGGAATTTAAATTTAGGTCCCTCCTGACTTAAAAGCCAGCACTGCCCCAGTATATTTCTTCCCATCTATAAAATCAAGAGGTTTGATATTTGACTACCTCTAGCTCTAATATTCTGTGATTCTGAAATTTAGCCATCACAGAACTGGGAGAGACCTTAGAGTATTTATTTGTGGAAACTCATTAAGCCCTCACCACTATGACCCTGGAGCTGATTCCTGCTTGTAGGATTAGGGCAATGGGAATAGGTTAAGGGGTATCTCTTGAAGCAGCAGGGCACCCTGAGAGAGGAACAGGAGACAGCATGGGCTAGGTAAGTCAAGTCACCGCCACCTAGAACACCATCTCCCCTGAGACCCTGATGGAGTAGGGCAGGACCCTGAACCCAGGACCCCAACAGCCTTGGGAATATCAGTACTTCTAGCCCAGTGCCCTCAGACATCATCCTGGGAAGCAATCCCCGAGCAGCTGCAGTCTGGCCACTGCTCCTCAGCTATAGTTACCCAAAAAAGAAAGTTCTTGGCGTGTGGTCAAAAGGTTCAATACCAGAAATGGATATGATTTTATCAGTGGAAATGGCATTAAAGAAGAAACATTATCATCTTCCCCCTAAGGACCATGGGAACTTTGCCATCCAACTTGCTGCTGAAACCTTGCATGCTGTGGTCTCTCCCGTTTTTTTTAGAATCAGCTAAAGAACAGAGACTCTCTTACTTTTCTATTTGAATTCCCCAGTGCTTAGCAGAGTGCTTTGCACATAGTAAATGCTTAATAAATGCTTTATTCATTCATTCATCATCTACCAGGAGATAAAGGGAGATCTTGGGTCTCTGGGAGATGGTAACAAAATTAACTTTTAAGTCTGCAAGAGAGATGGTGTCAATTGCCAAATGGCTAAAAAAGCTATAGTATATGAATTTAATGGATTATTACTGGGCTATATTGTAAGAAATAATGACTAATGAATAGAGAAACACATGGGAAGACATATGTTGTCAGCAGGTTGTCAGCTTGGACTTGGTGTCAGGAAGGCATAAGTTTGAGAATCCTGCCTCACACAGTCACTGGGATCCTAGGCAAGTCACTTTAAAAATAAAAATCTCCCAGCCTCAGTTTCCCCATCTGTAAATTGGGGATAATAATAGTACCTATCCCACAGAGTTGTGATGAAAATCAAGCAAAATACACCATATATGAAAAGCAATTATAATAATATTATTATTATATGAACTCATGCAAAGTATGAAGAATAACAATAACTAATAATGGAGCAAGCATTTATATATTTTCTTTTTCTTTTTTTTTTTTAAGGCAGTTGGGGTTAATTGACTTGCCCAGGGTCACACCACTAGTAAGTGGCAAGTGTTTGGTCAGAGGCTCGGATTTAAACTCAGGTCCTCCTGACTTCAGGGATGGTGCTCTATCCTCTGCGCCACCTAGCTGCCCCCTATATAGTTTCTTTTAAGGTTTTCAAAGCACTGCACACACTCATTTAATCCTCACAACTGCTGGGAGGTAGGTATTATCATCATCCTTATTTTACAGATGAGGAAACTGAGTCAGAGATGTCAAGGAACTCACCTAGGGTCCCACAGCTAGTAAGTATCGGAAGCTGGATTTCAACTCCAGGCTTCCTGACTCCAGGTCCAAGGCTGTCCTCTCTTTTTGTATCCCCAGAGCTTAACACACTGTCTGGCACATAGTAGGTGCTTCATAAATGCTTATTGCTTGATTGCTGCGCCACCTAGCTGCCAGAAAAGCAACAGACACACTGACCTACAAGAAGATAGAAGAAACAAGACAATTGAAACTGAATGCTGAAAATTTCATCATGATTACGTTTGAACTCAAAGAAGACATATAAGAAGCCACCTCCACCCCAGTTCTTCGCAGAGACCGGGGATTAAGGGAGTGGAACGCTGCACATAGTGTCAGCCCTGCACTATGTTGGTCAGTTTTGCTCACTGTTTTTTTTCCCCCTTTTTAATTCTTTGTTGTGATAAATGGCTGGAGCAGGGAGGGGATGCAGTGTTTTGGGGAGATACAAGAGAAAGTGTAGGTTGTGTAAAAATCAAGATAGAAGTAACTTTTTTTATAAAGAGAAATGGGAGATGGTACTACCTTTGTTGTTGTCTTTGTCCAACTCTCCTCGACAGACCCATTTGGGGGTTTGTTGACAAAGATACTGGAGTGGTTTGCCAGTTTCTTCTCCAGCTCATTTTACAGATGAGAAAATTGAGGCAAACAGGGTTAAGGGACTTGCCCAGGATCACACAGCTAGTTAGTGTCTGAGGACAGGTGCGAACTCAGGAAGAAGAGTCTTCCTGACTCCAGCTTGGCACTCCCAGCTGCCCATCAATAATCATTCAGCAGTGCCAAGCACTGTGCTGAGCACAGGGGACACAAAAAGAGGCGGAAGCCAGTCCCTAAAGGAGATTACAGTCTAATAGGGGAGATGTGCAAACATATGCAAAGCAAGTTACTTACAGCATAAATGGAACTAGTTAACTGAAGGAAGGTACTGGAATTGAGAGGGGTTGAGGAAGGCTTCCTACAAGAGGTGAGGTTTTAGCTGGGACTTGGGAAGGCAGGAAGCAGACAGAGAAGGGAGAGCGTCCCATTGCTCAGCTATCCCTCTCCTCCAACTTCTTCTAACATTTTTCATCTTTCCTTTGCTGCTTCTACTCTCTTTGTGTAGAGAGGCGGACAAGTTTAGTACATAGAGCCTGGGACTTGGGAGTCAGTAAGGTCTGGGTTCAAAATCCTCATCAGCTACCAACGTCTACATAAGATCTCTGTAAAATGAGGAGCTGGAATTTAGTGGCCTCCAGGTTCCAGGACCCTATGCCAATCCCACCCCCTCCACGGGCTTGCGGCGTTGTTCTTCTGCATCTAGCAAAGTACAGTACTGTACACAAGGAAGCGTTCGCGGAGCGGAACTAAAAGTGTGGTGTACTGGCAACAGCACCGGCCCTACACCCGAGAGGACACAGGTTCGAATCTCTGCTACGAGCAGGATTTGGAACACGTCACTTCCTCTCAGCGGGTCTCAGTTTTCGCTTCCATAGAAGACGAGATAACACGGCTAGACCGGTCCACGCAGGCGCAGGTGTAGGAACGCAGAGAGGCCCGCCCAGGGAGGAAGGGGCGGAGCCTCGGCAGGGTCGGAGGTGCGGGGAGTGGCCTCGGAGGCGGCGACAGCGGCGGAGACGCTCAGAGGGAAGAGGCTTGCGCGTGGCTTCGCCGGGGGAGCGATGGCGCCGGCGCTGCGCTGCCCGCTGTGCAGACAGAGCTTCTTCTCGGGCCGCGGGCACGTCTACAGCCGCAAACACCAGCGACAGCTGAGGGCGGCCCTGGAGCGGCTGCTGCCCCAGGTCGGGCCCCGGGGCCGGGGATGAGGAGGGCGGGGCCTCGGTACGGATGGGGGGAGGGGCGGAGGCAGAGAAGCGGGGAGCCCAGGCAGGTGAACGGCAGAATGAAGGATCTCGGGAGTGATGGGGCAGGTGAGCAGGAGGAACCTGGGTACTAGGATGTCAGATTTGGGAACTGAAAAGTATTAGGGGAGAATCCAAGGCACCGAGAGGTGAAGGAATTGGGGAAGGCTGGGACGAAACCCAGGAACGTTAGGTTTTGTTTGAAGTTGCGTTGGAGCAAAGAAGGGACAGCACCTCTCCTTGGGCTGAATGAATGGATGATGAAGGCAGATCACAGACAGACCAGTTCCCATTTTGCTTTTGTTTTCTCTGCTAAAAAGAACATTCTTTTACTAGAAAAAAGACAGATCAAAAATGGCTAATGGGTTTTCAATAACCACGTTAAGTAAGAGAGCAGTGACCTGAGTCATTGGGCCTATAGGAACATCCTCATCTTTAGATATAGTATAGAGAACAGGAGAGGCACTTCAGGACTGAAGAACAAATATCTTTTTTTTTCCCTTTGAGGGAAGTGAATAGGCTGTAAATTATAGGCCAGGGAATGATATTCACTTAAATTACTGCCAGAATTCTAGAATGAAATAATAATATGATAAACTATGAAATAAATAATAAATGTTTGTTGATTTGATAAAAGGGGTGGTTAGTGAATATGTATCTGGACAGGAAGTGATGATCTCAAAGAATGAGCCTGTGTGACTTATTCAAGAATAAGTGTATTTAAATTTTTTAAATCTTAATTAACAATATACCTACCAATATATAGTAGAAGAAAAGAGAAAGAAAATCACTACATCAGTATTAGGACATGCTAGCCATTTTATATATTATTAACCATGGTCAACTATGAGTTGACAGATAATAGAAGACAGAAAAAAACAAATGGTCCTACAAGAGATCATCAGTATTGACAAAATATTAGTAAAAATTCTCTGGCACAACCGGTCAGGCCGAAATAATCTAATTTACATTTTTGACAGGGTTATTATACTGGCAGATCAAGGAAATAATATGAAAGTTATATACAATTTCTCCTTGTGGACAAGGAGAAATATAGTCAGAGTGACTGTATAATAGTATAGGTGGATTCAGAACCAACAGACTGGTAAGCCTAAAGGAGTAGTCATTAAATGGTTTGAGGGCCTCTACTGTTGTGCGTCAGAACTCTGGTATTTAACGTTTTCCTCAGTGATTTGAATAGATGGTGGTATGCTTACTAAATTTTCGGGTATCCCAAAGCTGAGAGGGAAGGAGAGCTGTCTTGTTGGATGACAGAGTAAGGATCCAAAAAGATTTGAACAGACTAGAACATTGGGCTCAGTCCAATAAGTTGAAATCTAATGGGGACAAATGTAATAAAGAAATGAAATTATAAAACACTTGGGTTCAATAAATCAGCTTCCAGAGTAGAAGATGAAGAGGCATAGTTAGAAATTCATCTGACTACAAGCTCAGTATGAGTCAAAATATGATATGGCAGTCAACAAAGCTAATTCAGTTTTACAATGAATTGAGAGAATTGTAGTGTGCAGGACTGAGGTTATTATAAGTACCATTTTGTACTGTTATCTAGTTAGATGACATCTGGGCTACTGTACTCAGTTCTGGGCGGCACATTTTAGGAGGAATATTGAAAACTGGAGAATGTCCAGAGGAGGGCAGCTAGGATGACTGAAAGGCCTCACTGTGATGCCATGTTTAACCTGGGAAGAGAAAAGACTTGAGAGATCTGATCACTGACTTCAGGCATTTAAAGAGATGTCATATAGATGAGGGATTAGACTTAAACTGGGCCTGTATGAGGAATAACGAGTGGCAGTTAAATAATGAGGAAGATTTGGGATAGATATAAAGAAAAGCTACAGTTGAGATTGTTCAAAAAATAGAATGGTTTTACCTTGAGATGTAGCAAGATCTCCTTCAGTGGTGCTTCTCAATCAAAATCTTAACAACTACTTTTCAGGGATTCAGAATAGATTCATAGACTGTTATGGGTTGAACTAGATGTCATTCTGTGAAGGTAAAAAACTTGAAGCAATTGAAGGGAGTGGCCAGGGGCTGAGGAAGAGGTCATTGAATTTAAGGATGAAAAGATTGACTTTGAGCTCCCTCTAGTCTTTTTCCTTTTCTTTCACTAGGTGGAGGCTGCCCGAAAAGCAATCCGGACTGCCCACGTGGAGCGATATTCCCCTGAGCATGACCAGTGCTGCTGGTGTCTATGCTGTGGCTGTGAGGTTCAGAAACATCTGAGTCATGGAAACATGACTGTGCTGCATGGAGGTCTGCTAGAACATCTGGCCTGGTACATAGAGGGAGCTGAGAAAAGGGTGGTTGAGACACACATGATCATGAGGGCTTCTCCTGTCTTCCCTCATTATGGCCCAAGAAGTAGCCTGGCCAGATCAACCCGTCAATCAAAGCCACCAGTCATTGAAGTGCCCACTGTGTTCCAGGCACTGAAGTTACAAAGACAAAAGGAAAACATTGCTTGCCCTCTCAAGGGGCTTCCATTTTGACAGCGTAGATGTTTTGTGTGTGTGTGTGTACACACACACATAGAGATAGATAGATAGATTGATATGCACAAAGACATAAAATATACAAGATAAATACAAGGTGACCTTGGGCAGCAAGTACCAGCAACTTGAGGGAAGAGGGGTCAATCAGCAAAGGTCTCATGAAGAAGATGATGATAGAAGTGAATCTTGAAGGGGAAACCAGGGATTCTGAGAGGCAGAAGTGGGGAAGAAATACTTTCTAGGGCTTGGATATAGCCACTGCAAAAGCACATAGATGGGAGATGGGAGTATTATGTGTGAGGACATTGAGTGTCATTGCTGCTCTTCCTCTATCAGAGGGGGAAAAAAGCCTGAGGTCTCTGCAATCCTTAATCATGCAGTGTGACCCATAGGAGTAATTTGCCATGGAATGACTATAGCAGTGACTTCTCCATACTTTCCTTTAGAAAGAAAAGCCTAGCAATAAAACTCAGATCACATATGAAGATATTAGTAATACCTTATCACTGAAGGTAAAGCACACATCTTTCTTTTTTGTTAAGAATCAGTAAAGTTGAAAATGACATGTATTATCAATGACAATCTCATCAGTTATGCAGCTTTGCTCAACTTGATTTCTAGAAATGTATTTTGTGGACGTTAAATGTCTTGAAAAATTTATCAGAAAAAAAAGAAGAAAAAATCCTTAGTATATTGTTCTCTTCATCTACAGTCCAGATCACAGGAAAGCAACCAACAGGTTTTGGTGGGAGAATAAAGCAGATGTCTTGCTAAAAGAAAGGTTCCTAGTCTCCCAGCAAGATTACGCCCGGTAAGTCATTGGTTATGAGGATGGATAAGTGAGGAGGAAAAATGTGAGTAGAGATGGCCTTGGTAATTAGCCCCAATTATAGAGTCAAAACAGCTTTTAAAGGAAGAAAATTCAGCTGTCAAAGACCACATGAAAGATTGCCTCAAGTCACTAGTTATAAGAGAAATGCACATTAAAACTGCTCAGGTTTTTTCTCACACCCAGCAAATTGGAAAATACAGCAAAAGTCAGGAAAAATCAATGTTGGAAGAACTCCAGGATGACTATGACATGCTGTTAGTGGAGCTGTGATCTGAGTCTGGAAAACAGTTTGGAATTATGGTAGAAAAGTAATTGGATCATTCGTATTCTTTGACTCAGAGGTTCCATTCTGGGCATATATCCAAAGGATGCCCCCGAAAGGCATCAAGTATACCAAACCATTCATAACAGAACTTTTTGTGGTAGCAAAAACTGGGAACAAAGTAGGTACTTACTGATTAGGGAAAAGCTGAACAAATTGTGGCATATAAATGTCGTGGGATATTACGGCACTGTAAGAAATATGAGGAATTCAGAGGAATAGGGGAAGACCTGTATTATATATAATTTTTATTGCATCATGATCTGAACGGAGGGAAGAAGTAATAAGGATAAAGAGGAAGAAAAGGGAGGGCACTAATAGAAGGGAGGTGGACTGGGGGAGGCAGTGGTCAAAAGCAAAACACTAGTGAGGAGGGAAAGGGAGGAAGACCTCTATCAACTGATACAAAATGAAGTAAGCAGAAACATAGAAACAATATTCAAAATTACTAAAATTACATATAATGGCTAGTATTTATATAACACTTTAAGGTTTACAAAACCCTTTACAAGTATTTCATTTGATCCCTGTGATGGAGGTGCTATGATTATCCCTTGTTTTATAGAGTAGGAAACTGAAGCCAAGTGAGGTTAAATGATTTGCCCAGGATCATATAACTTGTGTCTGATTTAGGATTAGAACTTAGGTCTTCCTGGCCCCTGCATTGAGAGCTCCACAGGTCACTGCTAAAACAATGAAGATTAGGAAGTGCACTTCATTTGGGGGTAGAGGAAAGCCCACTGGATGGGTAATGCGGTATATGCTGTCAGACTGAGTCATTGTGTTGGTTGGTTATACTTAACTGCCTTATTTTCCAGAAATTACTGTGCTTTAAAAACACAATTCATCAATAAAACTTATCTTTTAAAAGCCCACTGGGCTGGGTGGAAGTCAAGAGATTTGAGTTTTTAATCCTGCCTGACACCAACTAGCTGTGTCAGGCAATTTGTTTAACCCCACTTTACTCTGTAAAATGAAGGGATTGAACTAGATGATCTTAGAAGTCCTTTCTAGTTCTAATATTCCATAACTTTTTAAATAACCAGTGCCTCATTTGGTTATGAAGATAACCCTGGGTTCTCAAAAGGCTATGCCAAGGAAGTGAAAATCTGGCTGGGTCCTACCAAGATGCAGTCAGAGCCTAGTGACTCAAGTCATCTTGTTTGTCCTGCAAGGGCAAACCTGGCTAAGTTCAGAGAGACTCAATCACTACAGTTGACCATCAGAGAATGCCATTTTTTTGGCTATAATGTGTGTACTTTGTGAAGACCATTAACTAAGGCATGGAAGGGTAGTTAAGCTGCATCAAAGGAAGGAGTACCGACATCAGGGAAATTTGAAGCGCTGAATAACTTAGTGCGTCCACCTCAGTAATGAGATGACCAGTCTAATTCAACTCAAAAATTGAGTATTTACCAAGCCACTAATATGCATAGCACTGCACTATTTTACATGTGGTTTTTTGCTGCAGTGAAGAGGATATAAAGGAAATGTTTGATATATTTCCAGAATAAGAAAACATAAGATAAACAAAATCCTTTATAAACATGGTGTTGAAACATGAAAAATCAAAACAAATACCTGCATTGGCCATATCCAAAAAAAGGTGTCAGTCGGCGCTTTGAATCTGTCACCTCTCTGTTAGGAGATAGGTAGTCTATTTAATCCAGTGCTGAATGGAATAAAATCAGGTGTTAATATGTGTGATACAAACTGTTGTGATCTGTCCTTCAGAAGTGGGAGAGGTTGTTCACACTAGGGAGGGGGCAGATTCTCAAGTAAATGGAATTTGAGAGCTCCTCAGCTAGTGCACACCTAGTAAACTGAAGCCAAAGTGATAGGTGATGCCTATCGGCTATCTCAGGCAGCTGAGGTGAAAAGCAGCTTTTATCAAAGCTGCTCATGAAACGGGCCATCTGGTGTAGTCAGACCAGCCATGATCACAGAAAAGGGTAACCAAGGGGTCTTGTGTCAGACTCAGAACCCTGAAACTACAGGAAAACAGGTTTTAGTTGGTCTTGCTAACTGCATAGTGAAGGAAATACTACCACCAGCTGGGGCTGGTCTGTGCATTGCACAAAAAGGTGGAAGGAAATGTTAGATTACCTTTTCTCAAATGATTTTACTTTCCTGTTGACTGTTGTGTTGATCACTCAAACTGATGGGAAAAACCAGAGATCTCTCCCCACCCCCCATATTTCCATGAAGTGGCCTAAGTTTGGGGGTTTTTGTTTGTTTTTTTGGAGGGAGAGGGCATGACTAATCAGGGATGTCAAGGTAGTGGGTACGATCGAAAACTCTGGATGTGGTTTGGGAAAGTGTGCAGTTGAGGAAGAGATTAAACAAGGCAGGGAGAAGTAACTGAGGGAGATTGCTAAGCACAGGTTTGAGGCTGGGGCCAAGCAGGTGTTTGAGAAGATGTGTAGATTGTTAAGGAGAGAGGAGGAATTTTACTTCTGGGAAGTCTGAATGGCCAGAACCTTGGAGAACAGTTGGCCATGCCCCGAAGACCAGGCTGACTGGTTCCCCCATCCTTGTAATTTGTCTTTCTAGATTCAAGAAGTCTATGATAAAGGCCCTGGATTCCTATGAGGAAGAAGAGGATGAAATGATTAAAAAGGTAAGTTACAGTGAGGTTATAGGAATGTGAGCTCCCTGCGCCCTGCACAGCATCGTAACCATCCCTGCATCTTCTACAATTCCCCCACAGATGGCAGCTGAGATTCGAGAGGTGGAACGCAGCCGACAGGAGGTGGTGCAGTCTGTCTTAGAGGTTGGTTTCCACCGGAGGCTCCAGAGCAGTATCCACCATGGCTGGTCTCTGAGTTGCTTTGAGCTCCCCAGCATCTCATCTACTGGCTTTCTTTGAGAACACATGGACTTCGGTTCTGCTTGAAACCCTACAACTGAAGGCACCTTGGCTTTGCAGGGCGTCAGACTGGCCAAGATAGTGGTGATTGGCCAAGGGGGTTCAGCATAGACGGCAGGAAGGGGCATCACCCTCAGCAGCTTACTAAGCCTGGCTGGAAGTTATTGGGGCAGGGAGGGATTCTACACATTGGCAGCACAGTTCAGCTGCCAGTCTGTCCTTTGAGCATGGGGTCTGAGGGCTGGGGAGGGCGTCACAGGCAGGCACAGAATTCTAGACACATTTATTTTTCCTGAATCAAACTCAGCCTCAGGCAGTGCCAGACCCAGAAGAGGGCTGTTCGGCGCCTTGTATCTGGAAAGGAACAAACAGGTAAGAGTTCCAAGAGGAGTCCTGGAACCTCTGAATTAAAGGGTCCTGGGAATGAGCTAAAATAGTGGTGCCATTCCTATGCAGGGGATATTTGGGCATCTCTCTTAATCTGTGAAGTGAGACCAAGTCCCATGTTGCGGGGCCTATGGCTAGCACCTATCAGTCTGCTCCTAAGGACCTCAACCTCCAGGCTCTCTCCGATTTACTTTTGCAGGATAGCCTTCAGCTCACAGCAGCTCTCCTTGGATCCATCACCTGCCCCAGAACTGAACTGGATGGAGGCCACACAGTCCCTGACTTTCATTGGACATCAGGTAATGTGGAGAAGGGGGTATAAATTCCCTCAAGAATTGGTAAGAATAAGACAAAAGACCACCCTAACAAGACTCTCATCTTTCTCATAGGACACACCTGGAGTTGGCAATGTTCATTCAGGTAAGATCCAAATGTTAATCCTGACTCATCTATACCATTAGTAGAGGAAACACATCTCATATCAACAACTTTCACTCGGCCCTCCTGGCAGCTTTTGTGAGCAAGATAGGCAGATAGAGGCAGGATTCAAAGGCATGTCCGACGGACACCAACATGAGAATTTATCCACTACCGTCATCAGTCAACTTTGCTTTATTAGAGTTAGGAACTCAACCTTTTAGAATTAGCTGAAACCTTAATTCAGGGCATACACAATGTTCTTAGAATGGTCCTAGATTCAAATTCTACAGTGGACACTTCTGTGTGATGATGAGCAAGTCACTGAGCTTCATTTTTAAAATGGGGATACCCTCACAACCTAAATTCCAATACAGTGCTCCTAACAAAGAAATGGTTTGTCTCTTGTTTGTCCATTTAGGGGCTACTCCTCCCTGGTTGTTGCAGGATGATGAAGACCGCAACAGCTCAGCACATCAGATCGGACCCTCCTATGAAGAATTCCTCAAAGAAAGTGAGTCAGTTACAGGGGTGGGATTGATTTTTCTTACCACACTTAATGCTCCAACCTTCCCCATCCCCCTTGCAGAAGAGAAACAGAAATTGAGAAAGCTACCCCCAGACCGAGTTGGGGCCAATTTTGATCACTGCTCTAGTACAGGTGCAGGCTGGCTGCCCTCCTTTGGCAGAGTTTGGAACAACGGGCGGCGATGGCAGTCTCGGTAAGTAGAGCTGGCCTACACTAGTTTCAGCCTTTTTCTTTTTTACACTCAACTTGATCTTTGAAATTTTTCTTTCTTTCCAGGCATCAGTTCAAAGCGGAAACAAAGCAGTAGCCTATCATCAAGTGGGACTACGTGGGGGCTACACTTTATCCACAACTTAGCAATATTATGGTTACTGTAAATAAAAGTCTGTTTTTTTTCTAATACAGTCTAATTCAGTTGTGGCCCCAGGAAACACAGCACAGTTTTAAAACACAGTTCTAGTTCAATAAGTTTATTTTTGAAAATGTACACAAATGTTGAACCTGCCAGGAAAAAAAAAACCACAAAATTAGAGTGGCACATTTCACACATTTCTTCCCACACCCTTTCCTTCAATAAACGAGTCTTGTTTTCCCCCTTACCATCTCATGCATCTTCAGCAGCTGGAGCATCTCCACCCTTGGTGTTCCTGGTATAGATCACTTGAGCTCTGTGTTTGGAAACTAGCTTAATTAGACCTACAGGGAACAAAAAGGCCATAGTAAATATATATAATGATTTTTAAAAAGGCCAATAAAGCTATAGGTTGTAAAGATTAAAAAAAAAAAGATAAACATGCTCATTGACACTCTGAATCCCAACCACTCCTCCCACTATAATCCTCTAATTCAGGCCCACTTGGGAAAACACACCTGGAAAAGACTGATCACCAAACTTAAAAGAACTAGGTCTAACTTTGCATAATAAGGTTCAAACACTGAATTTAGTCAACGAGGAACATAAGCTATTTATGGTTTCCTAATCTGTGAAATGTTGAAAGTTGTACTAAATGGCCTTTCCATCTTCAGAGCCATTAACTCAATTTCACACTGGGAACCATTTCCTTTTTCATTAACTTCTCCAATCCTTTTCTTCCTCTCTGCTAATAATAGCTAATAGTATATACAGACTTACTTTACAATTATTCTCATTTTTCAGATAAGGAAACTTAGGCAGAATTTAAGTGACTTGCCCAGGGCCACACAGCTAATGTCTAAGTCTGAATTAGATCTTCCTGACTCCAAACCCAATTCTGTTCACTGTACCATCCAGATACCCATATTACTTCATAAGGCCATAGATTAAAAGCTGGAAGCAGCTCAATCAACAAGACTGCCAGGGAACTGTGAGACACTGAGGACAATAATACAGAGAATATAAGAAATACATGCAAGGAGCTCATTCATTCCAATTGGAGAGACAAACATATGTACAAAATATGTGCAGCATGAATATACAATGTTAATAAATATAAATGCACACAAATAAAAATGGATGGGGGAATCAGAAAAAGCTTCATGGAGAATCTTATAGAAAGGGACTGACTGAGGGGAAGGTCAAAAAGAGGTATGCAGCCAAGACAAAAAGCATGACAAAAGAAGACGGGAACAGAAAGACTAGTCTGACTAGGTGCAGAAAGGGGAGTAATGTCCTATGGGGTTGGGCCAGCTCACATAGGGCTTTAAAAGCAAAACAGCTAGGTGGTGCAGTGGACAGAGCTCCAGCCTCGGAGTCAGGAGGACCTGAGTTCAAATCCAGCCTCAGGCACTTGACACTAGCTATATGACCCTGGGCAAGTCACTTAACCCCTACTGCCCCACCAAAAAATAGCTAAACAGCTTTTTATTTTTCATAGGGGGCACCAGGGAGTCATATGACCACAGCTGTATTTAAAGAAAATGACTAGCAGCAAAGTGCAAAATGGACTAGAGAGGGCAAAGACTTGAGAGAAAAACCAGTTAGGAATCAAACTAGTTTAGTTGAGGTAATGAAAACCTGAACCAAAGTTGTAGCTGTCTGAGTTAAGAAGGGATTGAATAGAGACAGCAACTGATTGTGTATGTAGGATCCAAAATAAGACAAAACTTACAAAAACCCAGGAAAGATGGTGATGGCTCAAAAAAAAAATTATACACATAGGAATTTGGAAAAGGAGAAGATTTGGGGGAAAATATGATGAGTTCAGTTTTGGCCATGATGAGTTTAAAACATTTCCAGATCTTTCCATATGAAATGTCCAATTTGGTCAGACTTGCCTGAGGTCACAGGTAGTAAAACAGAGGTGAGATTTTAATAACTATCACCCCATCTATTCTGGCTAATGGACTTACTCTTCACTTCTTCCTCATGTAATTATTCTAGCAACCAACCTCACAGCCTACCTTCTTTACTCTCACTACAACTACCCTATTTCTAGCCCTCCCACAAAAACCTAATCTTCCTCCTGTAGTCTTGCCAATTATCACTAATGTTTCTACTACTACAATCATCATTCCTCTACTGGAAAGTCCACAATGGCTCCCCAATGCCATAATCCATGCATAAATTCACAACTGGCACTCAAGGCCTTCACAGTCCTCACCCCCACCTCTCCCTTTATTCTCATTCTCTAATCCCTAATCACACCCACTTAAGTTCGATCAAGGAAGGAAGTTTAGATACCATCCTCTATGAAAGACCCCTGAACCTCCCCTTAAGAATATCTACCACACCTCAATTTTCTCAAAGCATTTTGTATCTTACTATTCTGTCCTATATCCTAGGTGTATACCTGTATCTCCACAATGCCACCCCCCCCACCGCCTCCTTAAAGCAGGTCCCCCGACCCTTCTATCTTTGTATCCCTTAGCATTTATCTGTTGCCAAGGCCTACTGATTTCACCTTTGCAATATCTCTGAAATACACTTCCTTCTCTCTGACACAGTCTCCACTATAGTGTAGGCCCTCATCACCTCAAGCTTTGATTGTTAAAGTGATTTTCCTAAATTGCAAGTCTGACCATATTACTCCCCTATTCAACCAACTCCAGTGACTCCCTATTGCCTCAAAGATCAAATACAAAATGCTCTTGTCATTCAAAGCCCTTCATAACTTAACCCCCCCCAACACCTTTCCAGTCTTCCCTCACATGTATTCTTCTATCCAGGGACACTGGCCTCCTCTGGCTGTTCCATAAAGAGACACTCCATTCCTCAGCTCTGGGCATTTCCTCTAGCTGACTATGTCTGGAACGCACTCTACTCTGCACCAACTACTGACCTCCCTTAAGTCCTAACTAAATAATTCCACCTTACACAGAAGCCTCCCCAGAACCAGCTTAATTCTAGTGCCTTCCCTCTGTTAACTATTTCCTATTCTATATATAGCTTGCTCTGTATGTGTATTTGTTTGCATGCTGCCTCTCCTATTTGAGGGCAAGAGCTATCTTTTGCCTCTTTGTATCCCCAGCATGTCCTGTACATAGTCAAACTTCTCAGAAAATATTAAGTGGACCAATCTGATGAAGCAGGTTGAGCAACAGAAGATTCTGACATTGCTTTCTCCTATTAGATCTTCAGAATATGACTAAAATAAGTTAGACTGGTTAATGCAAACAATCTGTGAGCTTGTCTTTCTCAGGTTTACCTTTACTAAGCAGTTCCTGGAGGGCTGCCCGGGCTAGAGAACCCCGGATCTTCAGTCTCTCGGAGACTACTGCAGGGGTGATAAGTTTATAGTTGGGGACTTCCTTGCAGAGTTTGTCGTAGGTTGCTTTGTCAAACAGAACCAGATTGTTGAGCTTGTCCCGAACTTTTCCTTTGGACCACTTCTGCTCAAGAATGAGAAAAGGGTCAGAAAATATACTGTTAACAGCACCCTCCCCGTTAAAAACCATAGGAAGTTTACAGTTACTTAATTCTTTTAAATATAAAGTCCTTTTTGTATATATCATCTCATTTAAGCCTAAAAATTCAGAAGCTTCCTCCAAAAAAATCAGATGAGGCAAACACAGCTAACTCTTTACAAAGACTTGAATTTAAGTTAAGTGACTTTCCTAAAGTCAAAGGTGTCAGAACTGGGATTTGAATAACATAGTTTAGTGGCTAAGAGAACCACTTGGGGAATCTAAAGTGCCATTGTGACAGATAAGGGCTAAGCATTCCTGCATAAATCACGTAACTTCACAATGCCTCAGGCAACTCTCTTAGGCAAAGTTTAAGAGAAAGTGAAGACCTGTACCTTAGAGTAGCCAGTTCACCATAATTCTTGCCTCCACCAAAGTATTTATACAAGTTTTATAACATGACCCCCACCCAAAACATGAATCCTGCCCACAAATTTCCCAACCTGGTCATGTCCCCTTTTCAGAAAAATTCTGTTGTTCTTAATTTATCCAAATCCTGTCAATCAATAAACATTTAAATCGGTTATTATGTTCCAGGCACCCTACTAAGGGCTAGAGACAAAAAACAGTCTGTCTCCCTCTGCGCTAAAGGAGCTGGCAATCCAAGGGATTAAATGGCTAATGCAACCCACTCTCACACTTAGGCAGCTCTGATAGACCAGAGATTATTTTCTAAGAGCAATTATAAATTGCTTTAGAACTTTGCCTCACACAGGTGTGCTCTCTGAGGCCAAAGAACAAATCTAGCTCTCTTCTGTGAACTCTGGGAAACTGGGCCTCAAGTCAAGACACTTGAGTAACCGGGGCCTGAGAGATTAAACGAGACCCCAACTGAGATAGGCCCATCTTAGAGCCACCCAGACCGCCTTTACCTTCTTCTTAGCTTTGCCCCCAGACTTGTTCACGGGATCTTTGTCCTTCTTGGCCGACTTGCCGGCATCTTTCTTCTTCTTATCGTCCTTGGGCGGCTATGGGGAGACAACGAAGGAAGCAGGCTCGGTGAGGCAGGGCGGCAGCCCGACCGTCCCGTTTATCTGCACGCCGTCCCCAGGCCTCCCCTCCCCCGAGCACATGGGCCCGGAGAAAGCACTCCCGGCCATGGGCTGTGCCCCGCCAGACCCCCACCACGCTGCGCTCTCTATGCTCCACACCACCCCTCCTCTTCTCTCCCCTCCCCGCCTTCTGGACCCCATCCCAAGCCCCAAGCCCTCACCATGGTGAGGCTCCAAGAACTCCCGCTGCTGCCGCCTCCAAGCTAAGATGTCGGATAGAGAGGAAGTGGGTGGTAAGGGTGGCCGCTGAAACTCCGTCTGCTTCTAAGTACTTCCGGGGTTACGCCGAAGGAACTGAAACGGAGTGAACTACAATTCCCAGCAGACACTTCAAACTCTACGTCTCAGGCAGATAAGGTTCAAGAGTCGTGGACTACAATTCCCAAGATGCATCATACCCAAACGCAACATTGCATAGACCGCTACTATGCTAACACTAGGGGAATCTGACGCAGTTGCGCTTATGTCTCCACACCCTCTTCAAGGAACTCGAGGCAAAAAAAAGATAAAAAGCTACCCTTGCACTCAAAAATTAACTCCTAGAGAAATTATAAAACTAGAGATGGGAGGATCAATAAATATGCGTTGCACAGTATCCCCCCCCCCACAACCTCAACAACGCAGAATGGGCTGGTCAAGGACCACGTGTCCCAGGTTTCCTGGGTGGAGCAATCAGGGAGGAAGGAGTAGTTTGAGGACTAGAGTAGGACTGGAAACCGGAAACTGCATCGAATGGAGCAATGGCGATCTTCAGCGTTTATGTAGTGAACAAGGCCGGCGGCCTCATCTATCAGCTGGACAACTACGCGCCTCGAGCCGAGGCTGAGAAAACTTTCAGCTACCCGCTGGACTTGCTACTCAAGCTACACGACGAGCGCGTTCTCGTTGCCTTTGGCCAGCGGGACGGCATCCGGGGTGGGCTGGGTCTTAGGCGCGGTCCTAGGCGCGTGGGGGTGGGGCTGAGGAGTGGTTTCCCGGGAAGGGGCGGGGCTTGAGACTCCTAGAATCCAAAGTGTTCTCTCCTGGGGTGGGGACTGAGGCGGGGGGCGGAGCGGGCCCGAGAATCCCGAAATCGGATTTGCTCCGGCCGAGGGGTGGTGGCTTTTAGGGCTGTGGGCTTGTGGCTCCTGGAGGTGGGAGGATTGCGTCCCCGTTGGCCGGGATGACCCGACCCCTGCCTCCGCAGTGGGCCACGCGGTTCTCTCCATCAATGGCGTGGACGTGAATGGCAAGTATACCGCGGATGGGAAGGAGGTGTTGGAGTACCTGGGCAATGCGGCAAACTACCCCGTGTCCATCCGCTTCGGCCGACCCCGCCTCACGTCCAACGAGAAGCTGATGCTGGCCTCCATGTTCCACTCGTGAGTTGCGCCCTCGCGTGGGGGGGGAGGGGCGTTCCTTCTCCCGAGGGGGCCCGCAGGACTTTTAGCTTGGGAACGCGGTGGAGCTGCCCCCACCCCCACCCCGGACCCCCTGCACCACGCTTTCCGCCCCAGCTGGTCACGCGGGCCGCTCGACTTGTTTGCACACAGGCTGTTTGCCATCGGCTCCCAGCTGTCTCCCGAGCTGGGGAGTTCTGGCATCGAGATGCTCGAGACAGACACCTTCAAACTCCACTGCTTCCAGACGCTGACAGGTGCAGACCCCAGAAGGGGAGGGGGCAGGGCCAGGAGGCTGGCTGGGGGAGGCAGGGGCTGGACTTGGGGCACGAGTTTGCCAAGCAGGGTGGCCGTTGTCTTTTTAAACAAAGGGATGAGCCCGGTATAGTCAATTTTCCTTTTCTTTCTTTGTACCTTACAAAAAATCGAACCTTTAATCCAAGGCTGACTTTCACATGTGGCTCAGATTTCTTCCCTTCTCCACAGGGAAAATTCAAACAGTGTAATAACTTGACCTCTAAAAATGGATTTAGATGGCTTTAGCAATGTGTGTTGTTGCAGGTGTTACATACCTTTGTTTCCACTGTTAACTAACATAATTAAGTTGAGTGGTTATTGGTTATTAATTTGACACTTGTTTCCACTCCAAGATGGGGCTTCTCAGAGCTTCCTCCTAGTCTACTGGGAGGAGCATAGCCTACACTGGGTTTGTTCCTTGCTCTGTCACAAAGAATCTGTGTGACCTTAGGGAAATCACAAAGGTCTCTAGGTCTTTTTTCTTATCTGTAAAATGTGTCCTGTCCTATTTTCCTAGAAAAGTAAAAAAAGGAGGTAAGATTCAAAAGTGCTTTGCAAAAGGTAAAGGTATACAAATGCAAGGTGTTGCTATTGTAATTTGCCACATTTTATACCCATTAGATTTTTCCATAGATTATGGAAGTTGAAAAAGACCTTTGAGATCCTCCATTACAGCAACTCTGTTTTACAGATGAGGAAACTGGAGCCCAAAGAGCCAAAGGAAATTGTCCAAAGTCACATTGCTAGTTTGTGGAAAGCTAAGACTCAAAAAGACAAGGGTTTCCTCTTGGAGTTTCTTCTACTATACCATGCACTCACTGTGTGACTTTTCCCTACAATCCACAGGTATCAAGTTTGTAGTGCTGGCAGATCCTCGACAAGGTGGGATTGATTCTCTCTTGCGAAAGATCTATGAGATTTACTCAGACTTTGCCCTCAAGAATCCATTCTACTCTTTGGAGATGCCCATCAGGTAAGTTGTCCCTTCCTAGCCACTTTAATTTAGCCAGTTGTGCCAAAAAGCCATCACCTCCTTTTAAAGCAGGCAGGGATAAACATCTTAAATATGACATGAAGCCAGGTGAGCAGTTTATTGGAGGGAAATGCCAAGTTCTCCCTGAAGGTTTTTCTGCCTTCAGTAATTAAATACCACTTTAAGCCCCCTAATCCTTCACCTCTTACTTGTGGCTTCTGGGCCCAACCCAGGTGTGAGCTGTTTGACCAGAATCTGAAGCTAGCTCTGGAAGTGGCTGAGAAGGCTGGGACTTTTGGGCCAGGATCATAGGCCCTCCAGCAAAAACCAAAGCTTGAGATGGACTCAGCCATTTTACTAGGATGGAGATCCAAATACCCATTTCAGAGCACATCAAGAAGAGTGGAGTCTGAGCAAGAGAGGGCAGTGTGGCACTTTTAAGAACTATTTGGTGTACCATCTTCTCTTCCCTGTATATAATGGTCCTCCCTCCTCAATGTTGTACAGATCTATTTATGGAATGAGTGAGACCTGATTGAAGATTCTGTAATAAACATTCCTGTGAAACCTGGGGTACCTGGTTTCCTGCTTTGGGGCTGCTGAAAAGCATTAGAAGGCAGCAAGACAGGCAGAGAAGGAGAATACTAGAAGGAAATAATGGGAATGGGGAAATGTCTGGAGAAATAGACAAGGGAGAAACAGCATGTTCCAGTGGAAAGAGTACTCAAGACTTAGTGTCTAATTCTGAGTCTGGCTGCTTGACTTTGGGCCAGTCCCTTAACTTCTGGATAACTCAGTTCCTTCATAGGCTTTTACAGCATTGGAAGGAAGCTAGGACGTCTGATCCAGCATGCACTACAACATTCAGGCAGAGGGCAGGTAGCCGCTTGTTGGAAGGGACTTCCTTGGCCTCTAGTCCATCCTGTATCCAAGTCACATTGCATATGATTTTTGTGGTATACCTAGCCACTGACAAGGGACTTCCTACTTTGCTGAGGCCACCCATTCCACATTGGAACTACCCTAAGGATTAAGACAGTTTTCCTCGTGCAGAACTGAAATCTGGACCAAGTGGAACATGTGAAAGGTTTCCCATGTGGATACCAATGCTTCGTATCTGACACCTAGAATTTTCTTTCACCCCCAGAACCCTAAGGTTTCAGGTCATCCTCAAGTGACAGGATTCTCAATCTATTCCCTCTAGTCAATACCCTTCCCAGACATGTGATGAAATCATAATTCCAGATGAGTGATCTGACCAGGGAAAAATATGGTGGCACGATCACCTTCATTCTGGACACCATCATTAAGGGTAAACAGAGCAAGGAGACAATTTGTTCTAAAAAATAACACAACTAAACGAGTTTTCTGAACAAAGCTATCTAACCTACCTCATGGGGAAGTTAGGATGCTATTTGTGCTAGAGGTCATGGGGGATTAAGGTGTTCTGAAAAGTTCTAAATGCTGTAGCACACCTCACATGTAGGAGGACAAATCGAACACCAAGGTGTTCAGGCAACAGGCTTCCCTTCTCTAGTGGTGCCAAAACCTCCTCCCCATTTTGGCAAGGGGAGAAAACACAAACTGGTCAAGATTCTTCCACTCCTTTGAAATAAACTACTGACAACACTTAGTATCAAATCTATTTTTTTTCTTTTCTGGTACCATGCTCGAGTTCTCTCTCAGAGTATAAAAGGTAAAAGTGCCACTACTACCCCATCCCCCTGCTCCAAGTCCCTGGGTTTTAATCAGAAAGTCCTTGATATTGGTGTCTGCGGGTGTCCTCTGCATGGTGGCAGTGAGGTGGGCATGGCTCTTCAGCTGATCAAACTGCTCTGCTCTAGGGCTCTAGGTCAGGGCCCTATGTAGATACTGAAGTGGGAGGCAGTCAGGCACAGGGGACCTAACCCTGATGCAGGCTCAGTTGTGTAACTATTTGTTTTGGGCACAGGATGGAGAGCTGCCACAGCCTGGGAACAAAGGTTATAATTTAAATAAACTGACAGGCAAAGGGTGTTGGGAACTGGAGCCCTGTTCTATCATGATAACCCCAATGCCTATATAGGGCAAAAAGGCAGAAAAGGAAAGCCAGAGACTCAGTGCCAGGGAGAGACCAGGGGGCACACACAGGCACCAAAGGATGTCCCTAGCCCTGCCCTCAGTCAGCTTTCTTCGGCAGCCGACCCATCTTGGTTCGGATGTTTCTGAGGAGGAAGAAGGCCACGGTACTGATGGTACAGGTCACCTCTGCCACCCAGAAGGCAGTGCTCCAGCTATAGTGCTTGGCGATGGTGCTGAAAGGTAGCCCAGCCAGGAATCCACCCACTGTAAGGAAAGATGCAAAGACCAAACTGAGTATAGGCTGCCAAGGGGGGTACACCAAAGAGAAAGGTGCAGAACCCAGAACAGGGCAGAAGAGTAACGAGTTAGTGGGGATGGGGGAAGGACTCACCATTGGCCATCAGCCCTACGATGGCATGGGAAGTACCACACAAATTGGAAGGGGCACTCTCATTGGCAATGACCCCAAACAGAGCAATGGGGCCATAGGAGGAGAAACCAAAGATGGCACCCAGCACCAGGATCCAGAGCTGCAAGAAGGGTGACATTTATGACCAGACAGAATTGGCACCACCATGAGAAGGGAAGAGGGAGGAAAGGATACCTAGGGATGAGTGATAACAAGATACCCCTAGGGTTTGCCACAACAGAAACCAAGACCAAGCCAGGTGCTAAGAGAGAAGGGTGGGAGAAGGTGCATGGCTCAGTGAAAAGGGGGACAGCAGTACCAAGAGTTTGCATCAGCCAGGGGCAAGGGAGAGGGGGACCAAGGTAAAGGTGGGAGGCAGACAGAGACAGATGAGACACCTCATGCTCCGTGAAGCCCATGAGCTCAGCCAGAGGGTGTAGAGCTGGTGTCCAGAAGGCAGCATCCTACAAGTATTAAAGACAAGGGAAGAAACCCAAGATCCAAGATAACTCAGAGGTCCAAAGGAAGAGGAAAAATGAGGTCTCAATAGAATGTTAGCGGAAACTAAGATACAGAAATGGAGTAAAGGAAAGCTAGAGTCCAGGAGAAGGCCAGATGTGTCCAGAGAGTCTCCCCCGCACTTTCCTGGACCGGTCCCTCTTACCTTGGGGGAGGTGCTAGTGACTGTGACACGGAGGAAGTACATGGACCCAACCATCCCAGCCATCATGAAGAGCAACAATCCATGGCGTGGGTGCCCATATACCGATGGCCCCGCCTGCATGATATCAAGAGCAGTGTTATGCCCCTGAAGAAAGGCAGAGAACCTCCCCCTGTGGACTCTGACACATCAGGGCCTTTGAGGACAGAGGGAACAGGGCTTTGGCAATCCCACCCACAGTGCTGAGTCTTGGCCCCATACCTACTGGGGGCCCTGGGGCTATTCATTGTCTTGGGGCCAAACTCCACTGTTCCACCCCCCCACTTCCATCACGGAGCACGTGCCCAGCAGCTGCTACAGCTCAGCTCCTCCTCCACACACTCTCCCTCCTAGAGGTACAGCAGTGCCCACAGTGGCTCCTGCTGCCCACGCCTGTCTTCAAGGGCTTCCATTTCTACTCCCCTAGGAAGGGGAACAGCTGCTCCACAGCTGTCTGGTATCTCTGGGTTCCTGGGCCTACTCCATCCTCAGGAATAAGAACTTCCACTCTTCTGATCTACCTGATGCCTAGGTCAGCTGTCCTGGAAGCGGTCACATCAAAACTTCCACAGTGCCCATCCTCTCTCTGTGCTGACTTACCTTTGCCATGGACCGGTCTGAGAGGTAGCCAGCTGCAATGTTACCCACAAGGCCCCCAATCTCCAGGGCACTCATATAGGAGCTGCCTGGAATAGAAAGAAAGGTGGTGGGCCCAGGAAAGCAGAGCCTAGGGGTAACCTGCCTTAAACCCAAAGGCAGAGCTGGTGCTCAGACCCAGTTCTTGCCACGGCAGTCCAGGAACAAGGCCAAGCTTCCAGGTAGAGGCTATGGCCATACTGGAAAGGCTGTGCCCTCCAATCTACAATGCCATCTGCTGCACCCCAAGCCTATCCTTGTGTCTGTCACTCCTAGAGAGTTCCTGAACTTGTCCATTCCCAACCCAGTATCTTCTGGGAATTGGCTAACAGTTGCTCTTACCCACAAGGGCTGACTGTCCTTTCTCCTGGATAAGGAAGAACTGGCCCCAGTCAGTGCAGCAAGTTTTTACCCCAAACACCACCAGGTAGCCAATAGAGAGAACCCACAGGTATGGGGACAGCAGCAGTTCCTGTAAAGTGCTCTCATCATCCTGGGAGCCTAAGGGAGGAAGTAGAGAAGGGGATTCGGGGAGACCAGGATTTAGCCATTTATCTCCCTTCCCTGCCTCCTCCCAAGCCCCCAATACTCATTAACCAGCTGCTGGAGCAAAGTCTAGCTGCAGAGCCCAGGGATCGGCCTGAAGGACAATCCCCCCCTCCACTACCCCATATATACCCTTCTAGACATTGTGTCTAGAAGAAACAGAGGCCCAGGAAAATGGGATGGGGCAAGGGAGGGGAGGGACGGGGAACCTAGGCAGCAAGGGGCTTCCTAAGGAAAAAATTCTGGGCTCCAGGACATGTACAGATCTCTAGTGCAGGTGGGAATTAAAGCCCAGTGCAAGGAAGAGACAGAGAAAAGAGACTAGCTGGGCCTGGATCTGGCAAGTTCCTGATCAGGGATTGAGGAATAAGGACTAGAGTAGAGGATTCACAGGATTTACTGTCTTCAGCACTCAGTTGATATCACAAAGACTGTTTTGTAATATCAACTGGACCGTTGTACTGTCAATGTTATTTCCCTTGCCATGGGACTCATCTCCTACAACTGTATTAAGCTCCTGGAGTACTAAGACCCTGTGTTTTTATATTTTTTTGTGCATAGCCCACACCTAGCACAGGATGGATGTTTAGTAGGGCCACAACAGTGAATTAATGAATGAGCAAGTGGGTTAAAGTTCAAATAAAGATGACTAAGGAGAATAAGGGAGTGGGGAGGGGGCATGGAGGGGCTCACCTTTCTTGCTCTTTTTGGGGGCAGTATCGAGGTTTTGTAGCCCAACATCTGCTGGCTCATTATGGATAAAGAGGAGGCAGAGGAAGGAGACGACCATGCACATTGCCCCTGAAAGTGCCAGAGTGCTACGCCAGCTGTAGTTCTGTGCCAAGAGGGTGACCATGATGGGGCCCAGCCCTCCAGCCAGGTTCATGCTGGCTGACAGGATGGCCCACCAGGTACCAAACTGGGATGGCTCAAACCACTGAGGGGAAGAATGTGACAAGGTGAGTGCCTGCCCCATCCTCCAAAGTGGATGCTAAATCCCCCAAAGAGGGTTCTCACACTGTACCGCACCACCACCATGTAGGCATTAAGGCCCTGGCACACTGTCTGTCAGTTCAGGGGCATGGGGATTGAGTTACAGGCTAGAGGGAGGGAGTAATAATGGAAAGCCAAGATTACGGCTACTTCCTGGCTATACCCAGGACCCAGGCTGTCACCTGATCCCTGCTACCACCAGAGTGCCTGAAATATCTTGATGAGCAATCTGAGCTGAGTTGAGTTCCTGAGAAATCGGCCTGGAGGAAAGTAGAAGATGGGGTACTCCTGACATCCCATGAGCATCTATTGGGCCTGCCTAAGCATAGCAGCTGATGCCTACCTTTCGAAGCACCTTCCCACAGGGGGGCCAGCCCAGCCCTTGGGCAAGCCCATTAAGAACCACAGGGTGGCAAAAGCAGATACTGTAGAGCTCCAGGAGAAGGCCACATTGACCAGCCCAACCAGCAGCAGCCCGGACGAGAAGAGCCATCGGGCACTCATCTGGTCAGAGAGCACCCCGCTCACAAACTTGCTGATGGCATATGACGCTGACTGGCTGCTGGCGATGAGTCCTGCAGGAAGGGTAGGGGGTATAGAGTCAGGGAGCAAGAGAAAAAGGAGCAGGGAAGGGTGAGGTATACAGCGACTGGAACAATGCAGACAAAAAGATCACTGAAAGAAGCTTGACTTTGAATAAGTGAAAAATCATTAATGGTCCCAGAAAACAGATAATGAAACGTACCTCCCTTCTCTGGGCTGGGAGGTGGGGGACTAAGAGAAAAATGTACACACTTGTCAGACATGGTCAGATGTTTTTGCTTAAATTTTACTGCAAGAGGAGGGTTCCACTTCAAATAAAAAAGGAGTATTTTCAGAAATAACTGAAAACAAAAAGGCATCAGTGAAACTTATTTTTAAAAATAAAGGGGAAGGGCAGTTAGAATGGGAAGTCAAAGGGCACTAGGTCAGAGACCATGGGTTTGGAGAGCACAAGGTCAGAGTATGAGGCCTGCCCATCAAGGTAACCCAGGTCCCTTTCAAAGGGAGCCACTGTCTCAAGGGATCTGCCCACTAGACCACAAAAGGTACAAGCAAGGTGTGTGCCCCTGTTACAAAGGGGAGAGTGAGGGTGCCCCTCACCAGAGATGTGTCTGCTGGTACCGAGATACTAATTTTCATTCCTCTCTTCAACACAACCACCCTATTCTCACTCCCTCCATCTCCCCAGCCCTCCCCCTCGGCACCAGCCCCAGGATGACCCTTGACCTTTTCAGCCTCTTGGAATGTTCCAGGCCAGCTGTCAGGGACAGGAGAGAAGGGAAAGGACTGTGGGGCAGAAGAGCTCTTCTTTCCCAGGGGCCCTGACACTCCATTTCTAAGTCCCGGGGGCAGAAAGGGCCTGAGATCTGAGCCAGGGACCTTGCCCCTCCAAGAGTAACCAGGATGAATGCCCGATGCTTGGGCCTACCTGATCCTGAACATGTACTCACACAAGTCTGATGATCACATACTCAGCACCCCTCCCCATGCAGAGATCACATACAGAACTCCTGCATGCACATACAGGTCTCTTACACTGAGCTCTCTCACATCTGCCTCAGTGAGCAGCAGAGGGTAATGGAAAGAGAACTTGACAGGAAGTCAGGAGACCAGAATTGAAGTCCTGACACTAACAGTATGGCCTTGGATAAGTCACTTCAATGCCCTAAGCCTCAGTTTCCTCATCTGTAAAATGGATTTACATTAGGTCTAGGGCTTCATTTTACAACTTTTCTATATGCAAACATACGTGCTTCTATATTACCCACTAAGTATGCAGGCCCTTCCCCACAAAGCCACTCATCATACCATGCAAAGGACCCCCCCAATCTGTGCTTTTGCATAGATCTATCCCACATACCCAACATGCACTAAGTACATGCTGTACCCCCCACAAATACCATCTCCCATGGGCCATAGCCCCAGCCCTTCGGGGGTCCTCACCCAAGTCATCCTTGTCTAGCGAGATCTCTTCTACCAGTGATGGCATGACAAAGGAGAAGGTCTTCCGATTGAAGTAATACAGACTGTAGCCCCAAAACATGGCAGAAAAAATCACAGTTCGGTAATACCCATAGCTCCGGGTAACCATGATGTCCACTGGGAGGGAGCAGGGGGCCCTGCCCTGCCTTCTAGGACTCCAGCTGCTCCGGCCACCACAAGCCTGCCTGCCGGTTCTTGGTCACACACCTAAACTGCTGAGTTGGGGCTTTCAGTCTCTGTCTCCAGTGCTGGGCTCCCCAGCTCCCTTTATAGACACTGTCTGGGCAATCATTAAGCTCTTGGGCGGCTCCCTGGGAAACCAGTGTCCTGGAAGAAAAGGGAAAACAGAGGAGAAAGCTAAGACAGGGGCTAAGTGAGTAGGTAGGAAGGCAGTGCTATCTGGCCCAATCAAGCCTGGTGCCTCTACACTCAGGGGTGCTGGAGAAAAAGCCCCTCACCCAATATTGCTTTACCTGCTTCTTTCATGCCCTCCTAGTTATGAATCCAGCTGTGATTAAAAGCACAACCTAATTACTCTTGCCTGCCAAGGGGCCCATGGGAGGCTGAGAGTCCCAAGAAACCAAGTGAACAAGGGTGTCAGCTGCCCCCTTGTCCAGCTCTACTCACTCCCCTTCTCTTGTCTCCTTTGCCCCCCCCACCAGCCCTGACTACCCAGAAACACATCCTGCCTTCACGCTGCTGAATCCCTCCTTACTTCCCCTTCTTCTATATCCTTTTAACTTCTAATTCCTAATTCACTGTGCCTCACCGGACATGCATCTAAGTGGCCAGAAGCAGGTGGGCCCCAGCAGACTTGGGTTCAACTTATCACTAAAGATGCTTCCAGGTCTAACATTGTGTGAATCTCTAAGTCCTGCAAGACACCACCTCGGTGAAATTGTTCTTCATCTGTAAATGGTAATACTAATACAAGCATTAACTACCCACCTATGGTTGTGGTCAGGAAAGTGTTTTGTAAATCTTAAAGTACTAGATCAAAGTGAGTTATTCCCTTCACTTCCCATTCCCCTAATCATCTCTCTACCCAATGAAACTGGTATAACCTACCTTCCTGCTGCTCACCGGCCCCATCACTGGCACAGCCAGGGACCCCAAGAAGAGAAAAGGGTGTGGGAGGAGGGCGAGAAGAGAGATTCAATCTCTCAATATCTCTCTCTTCGCATGTGTATGGGGAGCGAGGGTCACAAACGGTGACTGAGCAGTGTCAATGTGGCCATCGGGCCATGCACAACTGCACAATAGTGATGCCCTGTGCTCCAGGCAAGGGCTTCCCGGAGTCCAAGCCTCCTTCCCCTACGTGGGGAGTAACTAGAGCGTAAAGCAAAGGGGAAGAGAGGGAGGAGCCGGCTTTGTCCCTGGCCCGGGAAAGCGTGCCCTCCGGCTCCGATGGCCACTGCCAGTCACCATGGACGCTGGGCATGGCCAGGAGGGGTTGAAAGCCGGCAGGGGAAGGGGCGTGGGTAGGAAGCAGGACGGCCGCTCTGGGCACTGAGCCCAGCGCCAGTGTCCACACTGCCCGGGGCCCGGGGCCCGGGAGCGGTGAGAGCCCGGACGCTGCGGCCACAAGGGGGTCTGTACGAGATGCATGCAGGAGACATGGCTGAGTGGAGGGAGGGGGGAACAGCACACCTGCCGCTGCGGGGGGAGGGCGGTGCAATCCCCGGAGAAGGCGGGCGAAAGTGCAGCCCCCATCCCTGCCCCGCACCTTCCGGAATAAGGGACTATAGCGGCGCGAACTCAAGGCCAAGGGAGAGGGAGGGAGAAGCGAGATGCAGCGCCCTCACCCAACCCAGCCCAGCCTGCAAACACGCCGCGGCGCCGCCGCCAACTTCCTGCCTGCCTGCCCCGCAGCCTCCCTGCCCGCCTCCTACCTGCTCGCATTCACCAGAGACTAGCAAGTAAGCAGGTGGCGGCCAAGCCAGCAGGGGACGTAACGCGCAGGCGGGGGGGCGGGGCCTGGGGGAGGGGCGGGGCCTTGGCTCGGTCGTCAACCCAGCGTTCCAACCCCGCCCCCGCGCAGAGAAGCTCCGCCCACAGAGCTCAGTTCCCAGGGGAGAGGCCAGTCTGGGATTGTTAATTTCCAGTCTAGTATTTCCTAAAGCCCATTTAGCCCTGGGGGGGAAGGTTGTCTCACTGCCAGCAGTACCAAGAGCAAAGAGTCTGATTGACCTTAAATCTGTTTGAGAAGACCCAGGAAAAATTAGGTCATATCTGTAATCCCTTACAACTTCGTGATTGTGAGAACTGACTTTTTTTTTAAAGTTATTATAAATATGTAACCATCCAAAAGAAGTATAAGAAGCATATAAACGTGTGCCGGGCTTGGAGTCAGGGTAACCTAGGATCAAATTTAGGTTCAAAATCTAGGCAGGCTAAGCTTCCGCCTGCTTACTTGCCATTCTCCCGCCTCTGCCAATTAATAACTGTGTGACCTTGAGCAAGACGCAATCTTTTTTTAGGGTCTTGGGACAACTCCAGGACTTAGCTACTAAATTCTGAAATTGTTTCAGTCTGAATTAGAGGAGGCTCTTCCCACACTGGGAGTCCCCCAGAGTCACAAATATCCTCTTGCATTCCCACTTTCAAGTAATGAAAAACAAAATCGTATATATCCAATTCTTAAAGTTTAAGTAATTAGAACCAAATGAATTAACAGGCAAAATCACGTGCACACACACACAAATACATTTACTGTGTCCCTTTTCAAACTGGTCTGAAGTTCCCCTTCTTTTGGCTTTGTTTTCATTCCTTTTTTAATGGTTGTAGTCAGCACCTATATAGTTCAGATATAGCTGATCCCTTCATGTAGGTCTTTTCCATATTTTCTTGTATTCATTCACATTTATCCTTTTTTAAACAGCACCATAACATTCTATTACATAACTGTTCTATCGTTAATTCATCCATTTACCTATCATTGAGCTTAGGTTACTTCCAGGCTTTGGTTATTACAAATAAAGTAGCTACAAATATTTGTATTCAGAGAGGTCCTTTTTTCCTTCTTATGATTATTTTTAGGACAAAGTTCTAGCAATAGAATTGTTAAGTCAAAATGTACAATTGGTTTGGAGCTTCATAGTTTGGACAGAGGCAGAAAGTTAAGGCCTCAATGGATAGCACTGGATCTGGAGCCAGGAACGCCTGGATTAAAATTTAGACTGATGTTCAGTAAATATATGACCCAAAGCAAGTCTCTTAACCTTTTCAGGACTTCAGGCAACTTCCCACGATTTATTTAGTGTATATGGGGCACTATATACTGGTTGCTAATCTGGGTTCCCTATGCTGACAAAGTCACAGATCCCAGTAGTTTTTATTCCTCTATTCAATCCTACCAATTATTCTGTTCAGCTCTGTAATTTCTTTCTTATGTATCTTGGTGTTAGGTTTATCATATTCTGATAGTAGAGTGTTAAGATCTCCCACTGTTATTGATTTTTAGCTTCTTGCAAGATTGTATTTCCTTTACAAATTTTACTACAGAGTTATAAAATGCATATATATATTTCATGTTGAGTATATATTTAAATGTATGCATGTCTAGGTATATATTTTTAAGTTTTTATATAGCACACAACATAGGGGCATCAAAGTGGCACACAGGCCTGGAGTCAGAAAGACTCCTCTTCTGAGTTTAAATATGGCCTCAGATAACTTACTAGCTGTGTGAACCAGGGCAAATTACTTAACCCTGATTGCCTCAGTTCCTCATCTTGTAAAATGAGCTGGAGAAGGAAATGGCAAAACACTCTAATATCTTTACCAAGAAAACCCCAAATGGGGTCACAAAATGTCAGACATGACTGAACACCATAGCACATAACATAATGTTCTTGTTTATCTCTTTTAATATGTACTTTTTGATATGACAGCTTACTCCCAAAGAAGATAAGAGTGACCTTCAGCAAGACACAACCTCTATGGGTCTTTCTGTCCCCCCTGCATCCTGGGCCATCTCCAGTTGTCCTGATCAAAATCTGGCCACTGGACCCAGATGGCTCCAGAGGAGAAAGTGAGGCTGGTGACTTTGCACAGCCATCCCTCACTTAAATACAATTCACTTGCATGTCATGGCATCACCTCCCTGATGCCAAGGTCCTCTTCAAAAATAGAAGAAACTGACCCCTTAAAAATTAGAAGGGGGGGACAGCTAGGTGGCACAGTGAATAGAGCACTGGCCCTGAAGTCAGGAGGACCTGAGTTCAAATCCAGCCTCAGACCAAACATTTCACACTTACTGTGTTACCCTGAGCAAGTCACTTACTCCAATTGCCTAAAAAAAAAATTAGAATAGGGCAAACAGAAGCTATGAGAGAATAAGAATCAGTCAAACAGAAACAAAGAATGGAAAAAATACAAGAAAACATAAAATACCTCATTGGTAAAACAACTAATCTGGAAAAGAGATCCAGGACAGACAATTTAAAAATTATTGCTCTACTTGAAAACCATGATGAAAAAAAGAGCCTGGACAATATCCTTTAGGAAATCATCAAAGAAAACTGCCCTGAGGTCCTAGAACCAAAGGGTAACTTAGTCATCCAAAGAATCCACTGGTAACCTCCTGAAAGAGATCTTAATTTGAAAACACCAAGGAATATTGTAGCTAAATTCCAAAATTACTAGATCAAAGAGAAAATACTGCAAGCAATCAAAAAGAAACAATTTAACTATCATGGAACTACAGTCAGGATTACATAGGACCTTGGAGCTTCTACATTAAAAGATCAGAAGGTGTGGAATACAGTATTCCATAAGGCAAAGGACATTGAATTACAACCAAGGATAAACTACCCAGCGAAACTGAGCATAATCTTTCGGGGGAGGAGATGGACATTCAATGAAATAGGGGACTTCCAAACCTTCCTGATGAAAAGATAAGAGCTCAACAGAAAATTTGATCTTCAAATACAAGACTCAAAAGAGGCATAAAAAAGTAAACAGGAAAGAAAAAAACATGTTATTAATAAGGGCAAACCATTTACTTCCCTACAAGGGAAGATGGTACTTGTGACTCTTGAGAATTGTAATGTCATTATGACATTTAAAAGGAGGTATACTTAGACAGAGGGCATGAGTTTAAGTTGACTTTGATGTGATGGTAAAAAATCTAAGTGGTGAAAAGGGATTGTACTGAGAGAAGAAAGGAGGCAGACAAGGATAAATTACATCACATGAAAAGGCACAAAAACCAAATACAGTAGAGGGAAAGAAAGAAAGGAAATGAGCATTGTTTGGACCTTACTTTCATCAGATTTGGTTCAAAGAGGGAATAACATAATCAGGTAGGTATAGACATCTAACTTACCCTATAAGAAGTAGAAAGGATAAAGACAAAAGAAAAGAGAGGGGGCTAATAAAAGGGAAGGCAGACTGAGGGAGGTGGTGATTGAAAGCAAAACCCTACTGAGAAGGGAAAGGGAAAAAGGAGAGAAAAAAGCATAAAAAGGTGGGGAGAGGATAGGATGGAGAGGAAGACACAGATAGTAATCATAACTGTGAATGGGAATGAGAATAGGACGAAATCTCCCATAAAGTGGAAATGGATAGCAGAGTGGATTAAGAACCATAATCCTACAATTTGTTGTTTACAAGAAACACATTTGAAGTAGAGGGATACACAGAGAGTAAAGGTAAAAGGCTAGAGCAGAATATAATATGCATCAGCTGAAATTTAAAAAAAAAATCAGGCATACCAATCCTGATATCAGACAAAGCAAAAGCAAAGATAGATCTAATTAAAATAGATAAGGAAGGAAACTACAACTTGGTAAAAGGTAACATAGAGAATGAAGTAATGTTATTACTAAACATATGTGCCCCAAGTGGTATAGCAGCCAAATTCTTAAAGAAGTTAGGAGAGATACAGGAAGAAATAGACAGCAAAACTATACTAATGGGAGACCTCAACCTCCCCCTCTCAGAACTAGATAAATTTAACCACAAAATAAACAAAGAAGTTAAGGAGATCAATAGAATCTTAGAAAAGTTAAATATGATTAACCTCTGGAGAAAATTGAATGAGGACAGAAAGGATAGCTTTTTCTCATCCATACATGGCACTTACACAAAAACTGACCATGTACTAGGGCATTAAAACCTCACAATCAAATGCAGAAAGGCAGAAATATTAAATGCATCCTTTTCAGGTCATGATGCAATAAAAATTATATGCAATAAAGGGCCATGGAAAGATAAACTAAAAATTAATTTGAAACTAAATAATCTAATCCTAAAGAATGAATGGATCAAACAACAAATTATAGAAACAATCAATAACTTCATCCAAGAGAATGACAATAATAAGACAACATACCAAACTTATGGGATGAAGCAAAAATCAGTCCTTAGGGGAAGTTTCATATCTCTAAATGCTTATAAGAATAAAATAGAGAAAGAATAGATCAATGAATTGGGCATGCAACTAAAAAAGCTAGAAAAAGAACAAGTTGAAAATCCCCAATTAAATACCAAATTAGAAATTCTGAAAAACAAAGGAGAGATTAACAAAATTGAAATTATGAAAGCTATTGAACTAATAAATAAAACCACAAGCTGGTTTTATGAAAAAAATGAATAAAATAAATAAACCTTTGGTTAATTTGATTTAAAAAAAAAAAGAAAGAAGAAAATCAAATTACTAGAATCAAAAATGAAAAGGGTGAATTCACCTGGTGGTGAAGAGGAAATCAAAACAATAATTAGGAGTTATTTTGCCCAACTGAATGCCAATAAATTTGACAGGCTTAGTGAAATGGATGAGTATTTACAAAAATATAAACTGCTCAGATTAACGGCAGAGGAAATAAAATACTTAACCCCATTTCAGAAAAAGAAATTAAACAACTATCAATGAACTCCCTGAGAAAAAATCTCCAGGGCCAGATGGATTTACAAGTGAATTCTATCAAACATTTAAAGAAGAACTAATTCCAATACTATATAAACTATTTGGAA